AGTGTTCCGAAACAAAACAACCGTTTTGAAACAACAGAAGAAGAGTGTTCCGAAACAAAACAACCGTTTTGAAACAACCGAAGAAGAAGAAGAGTGTTCCGAAACAAAACAACTGTTTTGAAACAACAGAAGAAGAAGAAGAGTGTTCCGAAACAAAACAACCGTTTTGAAACAACACAAGAAGAAGTGTTCCAAAACAAAACAACCGTTTTCAAACAGCAGAAGGAGGGTGTTCCGAAACAAAACAACCGTTTTGAAACAACAGAAGAAGAAGAAGAGTGTTCTGAAACAAAACAACCGTTTTGAAACAGCAGAAGAAGAAGAGTGTTCCGAAACAAAACAACCGTTTTCAAACAACAGCAGTAGAAGGAGAATGTTCCGAAACAAACAACCGTTTTCAAACAGAAGAAGAAGAAGAGTGTTCCGAAACAAAACATCCGTTTTGAAACAATAGAAGAAGAAGAAGGGTGTTCTGAAACAAAACAACCGTTTTCAAAAGGCAGAAGAAGGAGAGTGTTCCGAAACAAAACAACCGTTTTCAAACAGCAGAAGAAGGAGAGTGTTCCGAAACAAAACAACCGTTGTGAGTCTGAGGCCAACCTCACAGTTAACTACTACTCTCTTTGGGTCACTGAAGGAGCTTTCATGTGTATAATCTGTCGAATTAATTAATAAGACAAAAAAAGAAAAAAAAAATGCAGATAGAAAATTGATAGAAAAACCCACAAATTGCTACAAAAGGATTCTACCATTTGGTGTGCGGGTGTGCAGTGGTTAGTACACATGAACCATGTACGGAGCTGCGGCCGACCCGGGTTCGAATCCAACCTGTGGTCCTTTTCCACATGTCTCTCCCCCTCTCTTGTACCCTATTTCCTGTTAGCCTACTGTTAAAAGAATGCACCACTAGTGCTGTAAAAACTCAAAAAAGAAGAAAAAAAAGGATTTTACCATTTAAAGCTTTTTCATTTTTAAGGTAACAGATAGTGCTTCAGGGATCCACCACTTTGTACTAGGAGGCCCATGTGTAGTTCAGGTATAAAGGTTACAAACCTGCTCAGATCACATTGAACTCTGTGGAGGCTTTGGGGATTGATATGGGTACTTGCAACTTTTCAGAGCACAAGTGCATGATTAATCATAATTAATCTTTTCAGGCCTGTCTGTCAGCATGCTAGTAATGGAGGTTTTAGATGCAGTCGCTTTAATCCAATATTAATCTGTGCATTGAGGATAAACCAGTATGGAGTTAACTTTGTTCCATTATTATTGCAGCTAAAAAAAACAATCCATTTGTAAATGGAAATTAAAAAAATGCAATCCAGAAATGAAGCTTTTAAAAATTTCTAAATCAAATAAAGAGAGAAAAGTTTAAGTCGATTCCTCAGATTAAATTTATTCAATTTATTTTATTTACATTTTCTTTTCATATTTTATTTTACAAATTTAATCTATTGAAATTATATTATTTCAAACTTCTCTTTTTCAGATTATGTTTTTATGAATTGCATTCTTTTTAAAATGCGTCTTACAAACACTCTCTCGACCAATAAAAGTGTTTTTTGCTAACGTCCAGCAGACCAATAGAAATGCATCTTTGCGCCTCACTCCAGAGGAAAGCCCACCCCCATAATTGATGAGAATGTTATCTGTAAAACATAAAAAAAATATATATTTTTTTAAAACTCAAACTATGAAAACATAAAATGTAAAAGAGAAAACAGAAAAAAAAAGTCCAAAATAAAATGTTAAAAAATATAATTCGAAAAAAGAATTTGATAAAATAAAATCCCATTAAACAAAGTTATTCTTAAAGCCCTTGTTTGGTTGCAAAGTTTGCTTCTAGATTGCACTTTTTTAAATTCAATGTTCCTTCATTAAACAGGTATTTTAAAGTAATTTAATTAACCAAACCAGCATGATTTCTCTTTAAAATGTTATAAATGTGTAAAGGAACACTTTGGGGTCCAGATGGAAAATCTCCCATTAGATCACAAAACAGGCGTTAATTAGACTTTCTTGTTGTTTTCCAATTTAAGCTGATTTTGTGGTTGCCATGGCCCGAATGACTGGGAACTTACACTGGCATCTCCCATGAGATCTATTGGGGATAATCATCTAAGTAAAGTGTCTTCTTAAAACAGGCAAATCTTTTGGCTCTCATTAGTGCTGACATCCATTACTGGCTCATTTTGAAGTAGTTTTTGCACTTACTGTCAGAGAAGCAGACGTTAGCTGCATGTCGGCATAAAACGAAGCTGATTTGAGTAATGAGCTGATGTAGTGTGAGCATACTTCAGCGTCCTTGGTTCCTATTTGAATGCTACCGTAGGATTCAGTTTTCTGCTCTGGAGAGGAGCAACATCAGTAAGGAGGGGAACATTTTGTGCATGATAATCAGTTTGTAGACTCCTACAGTTCCTGTCAAATGTTAACGTACGGCACGATCATCATGGGCATGAATGGGAAATTAATTTGATTCAGGGTGAAATTATTATACAGCTGACAGCTTTGCCGCATTTCAGAAATGAGAGCTGGCTCAAATCCTGTGGATTTATCGAAGATTTTCTCCAAAAATCCTGTGGATTTATCGAAGATTTTCTCCAAAAAATCCTTGTAAATTATGTGCACACACCCCCCTGGTGATATTTTGATAAATGTCACATAAAGAAGTTGCAGAGAAACCACTCACTCTGTGTACCAGTCAATAAGTCTGTCCTCATAAAGCTGCTTGGTTTCCAGGCAGAGAGTCTGATCTTTTTTTATGCTTGCTGGTGGGGCTTTAGGGAAACCATTTAAACAATTCAGATGTTTTTTGTGTCTGTGTCTGTTTGAACACCAGACGATGTCCAGGTTAGAGCCAACCAGATTTTAAATTAAGGTTGACATTGAAATTTTTTTATTCCAACCACTTTGTGCATTGCACTAGTCCCTCTGCAGCCCCCAGCATCTTACTGCCACCACTTTTCTTCACAACAGCTATAGGTCTCTGCTTGACTGTTTTAAACCAAGTGCATGTCTTTTTGATTAAAAATGCTCTTTTTTTTCTCAACTGTTCTCAAGTTATTTTCCTTGGCTTGTCCTCAGAAGAAGCCAGAGGTTTCAGCTCAAAGGTATATGCTGAAAAGCAGCTGTCTTCCACTCCATTACCATCTCTGTTCATGATGATTGAAATTTGATTCTCCATGGGAAGTGATGAAATAACAGCTTGAGGTTAATGAGCTCTGCTTGTTTTGGAAAACAGGAACAGGTTGACTTTTATCTATCTTATCCAGTTTGTAATTTTAACAGAACAATGATAACTAGCATCCTTCTAAAACGGGCTAACTTTCAGGTTCTTGAGTGTTCCTCAATTATTGAAGATCTTTGGACCATGTTTAAAACACAAATCCGAGCTAGGAATTCCTTTTCTAGGGGTTTTACCAACATTGTCACGGTAGGGAAGATGATGGTGAGCGACACAGCCTGAACTTCTATTGAGTGAATTTGATTCCATTATTTTTGCAAGCAAAGAACAATTTAAAGAAGAACGATTATTCCACAGATCAATCTAAAGAAATAGATGCAGATTCAACGGGCCCAGGTCATCAGAGATGGCAAAAGTACTCACTTTCCGTACTTGAGTAAAAGTACAGATACTTGTGTTAAAAAATACTCTGGTAAAAGTGGAAGTACTGATTAAACTTCTTTACTCAAGTAAAAGTAACAAAGTACAGGCTTGTAAATTTACTTAAAGTAGAAAAGTAAAAGTAGAAACCACTTTTTTCATGCCGTTGCCTACATTTTAAATGGATGTCGTCCATACTACTATGCTAACGCCACCGCCACCAAGCTACAATGATTTGCCGCCAATGAATACCGCCGAATCTGTCGATTCATCATGTAGTGGTGCGTCAAATGCAACGTAGATTCCCATCCAATTAGATTGAATTTGGTATTGATGACATGAAAAATAATAACGGTAACTCCATTGAAATGATTCAAAAACTAAAGTAACGAGTCAATTTTTTAAAATGTAAGGAGTAGAAAGTACAGATATTTGTGTAAAAATGTAAGGAGTAGAAGTAAAAAGTCGCCATAAAAATAAGTAGTTAAGTAAAATAAAAATATCAGAAAAATCTACTTGAGTACAGTAACGAAGTATTTGTACTTCATTACTTCCCATCTCTGCAGGTCATAGATCAGAATCTGAACTTCTTCCATCCTTCATCCCTGCCGGGTGGGGGATGAGCTCCAAAGCTTCTTACGTAATCAGGATTTAGTTTTAAGTCTGTCAGGCCTTCCTGTATTAGATATGATTAGTGGCCCTCCTGCTGTGCTCTCTCCTCCTAAGAAACCCAGACGGGAGAGATTCCACTGGCCTGTACAAAAATGAGTGTATCTGTGGAGATTCAAAGCAACAGCAAGAGTCTGGTGTTTATTTTTATTTCCTCTGCTCTGCATTTGGGGCCCTGCTCCAACTGTGGCTCTTATGAGAGCTGTGCGAGAGCAACAATTACTCAAAGTCTGTTGTTTAAATAAAAAAGTTTTGAAAGCATCACCATTTGACAAACTCTGATGAACTGGTCAAACACAGAGGTTTGACTTTTCCTTACAGCAGGTTCTGTAACAGCTTTTTCCCCACTGTTATCAGACTGCCGAACTGTTGAAAAAAAAACAACAGAAATTCTAAATCAAGTCACTAATTGGGACTCTGCATCACACAGACAATATCAAACCAAATAGTACTCTATTTTTTTGTACTGCATTCTTTGCACCATATATATTTGTTTTTGCACTGCTCTGAATTTCCATATAAATACCTTATGCACCATATTTTCCTCTCACTCAGTTTACATTCAATCCCTGCTGCACTTTATGAAATTAAAATGTTTCTTTTCACAGCTAAGCTGCTGCTCATTTACTGTCTGAAAGCTGAACAAAACAAAATTTTGTTTTGTATACACTGTTTTTACAAAATTACAATAAAAGTTGTCTAAGTCTCAGTCTTCCTTCTGCAGAATTATGGTCTGGAAACTGAGAATCTGAAGACGCTTTCTCACAAGCTCAGCGCATCTGCAAAAAACCTGCAGAACTTTATCACGGGCCGGCGACGGAGCGGCCATTACGATGGCCGAGCCACTCACAAGCTGCCAAACGACTTCCTGACGTCTGTGGTGGATCTCATCGCCGCTGCTAAGAGTCTGCTAGCATGGCTGGACAGGTGAGATTTGCAACATGCTGATCCTGGATCCATCCGTCCATCTCTGCCCATCCCATAGGCATAATAATGATTGGAGCTGCTGCTGGAGAGCATTAAATATGGCCGCCAGCTGGGCTAAACCAAAACAGCTCAATACTCTGCAGGATTTGCTGTTCAAATCAACAGAATATTCAGCTCAGGGCTCAGGGGCTAACTTTTAAAAAAATTAATACACACAATAAACATATACATGTCTACCAGCAAATTGCCAGCTAATGTTTTTTTCCTGGATCTCAATCAGCTTAGAAGGCTAAACCCAAACTTTGCCTGCGTTTCCAAAGATGAGGCTGCAGCACAGTACCAACGTCAGGTACCTTTACCTGTAGAAACACAACAAAAGTTAAAGAAAAATAAAAAAAATCTGTCATGTTTTAGGAGTTTAAGCTCATTTAAAACTTTATTCGATGGATGGATCGATGGATAGCTAGATAGTTTGATTGAGAGCAGCAACTACAGCAGCAATAGGCAATAGCAGCCCATGAGGAGTTTAGTCTGTATATGTTTCTATGGTCCATCCATTCAGGTATTTTTTCAATCACTGATTTTACCTGAAAATGTAAAATGGTATTATATTTGAATTCTTCATATATTTTATTATCAAAAACATTTCATTCTATTATTATTTTTTATGACTTTTTTTCATTAATTGTGATTTATTTTACTTTATTATTTACTATTGTTTTATTGATTTATTGTTGTTTTATTCAGAAAACAATGAAAACTATTTATTATTGTTCATGATTTTTGAGTATTTGTTGATATAGCAAACTCAGTTTTTTTGTCCATTCTGTTCTATTTTTTAATAAAGCAAACTTAACTATTTCTTATATCATATGCAGAAATCATATTTAATAATTATAAATAATCTAATTTTTTTATTTTTATCATCCAGTTTATATTTAATAATAAAATGAGAAAGTGCTATCTTTTTTAAAATGTCAGTAACTTAATTTTGTGTAAAAGTTTCAAAAAAGTTCACCTCTTTAAAAACACCCAATGTAAGTTGGAAATAAAAAACATTTGAAAAAAATAAGGATCGCAAGAACTGATAACTAATGGAAATATAGGAAAAATCTCTGTGAGGGATAAAATCAGGACTAAACTGTCACATGTGATAATTTAAATTATAGCTTCATTGAGTTTTTAAAATATAAAGTCAGCAGAAGGTTAAACCTTAATAAACCTTTATGAACTTAAACCTTTATGTACTTAAACCTTAATGAACTTCGCTACCGGCAAGCAGCATCTTGTCACCTCTTTGTCCGTCTCCTTGTTTTTGTGCAAGGCAGTGATCTCTCCTCTGAATGTTTTGGACATATCTGTTGACTTTTTTTCACCCCACAACCAAGCATCCCCATCAACAGTCCAGGCATTTAGGCAGGTTGATTCAAGCACACCTGATACAATGGATGAAGCTCATGTTTGGATTCATCTGGTGTTTCTGATGATTTCTGAAGGCGCGCTCCAATGACGAGGGGTGGGAATATGTTGAGTCTGGATCGCTCATTTAAAGTAGGATTGAATAATGGATATGGAGGACAGCTTTTCAAGATTAATATTATTGTATTATTGCACCTTCAACAAAGCAGACAAGAATTATCATTTTCTTTGATGTCTGTGATGCATCGGCTCACAGGAAGGCCTTACAGAAGTTCTGAAGACAGGTTGGCTCAAAGGAAACTGAACCAGCCTTATTTTTGAAGTGACTTTATGCCTTGGTTCTCTGCATGCGTGTCTCTCTGTGTGTGTTTGTCTCTGTGTGTCTGATGTCATTTGAACTTCAAAGTTGACAACACTGAACAGAAATAAAAAAGATCTGGGTGTTTTCTTTCTCATAAAGCAGAAACATAATTGGTTTCTTTCATCCTGTTAAAACGGATTCAGAATCAGGTTTCCACTCTTTGTTTGTTCATGTTTAATTGTGGACTAAATTAGTCAGGAATAAATAAACACTGAAAATGAAGTTTGCTTTTATAAATGATTTTTTTATTCGCTTTGATTCTAATTAGTGAAGAACTGGATCTTATTAGCTGCATGTTTGTTGATAGAGAGGATGTTGTTTTTCATCCGTCTCTGAAAGTCTATGATGAAGGACAGTCTAATTGTTCATTTCAGGTGCTCCTTCTTTTTTAGGTCACCTTTTGCTGCAGTGGCGGATTACTCTGTGACCAGAAACAATGTGATCCAGCTGTGTCTCGAGCTCACTACCATCGTGCAGCAGGTAAATAAACTCTACACCATTATATTATGATGCTCAGCTCATGACTTCAGCGCATCTTGACTCATGGTTGACTCCTCCAGATAAACAGGGATTTTCCTGCTATTTATGCTCAGGAATGTTATTATGATTTATTTGTTGATTAATTTCCAAACAACTTCATCAGTTTTAACCAAAGTGATGAAGAGCCATTATCGAGCCACAGGTTGCAGACCCAAACTGCCTGAGATGAGAGTTTGGCAGCAAGAATAGGCAATGTTAGTGGAGATATACTCCAAAAATATGCTGCAGCTGTAACTGTTGCAAAATGTTATTTTATGACATTAAGACTCAGGGATGCTGAATGCAAATCCACATCAGAGTTTCCCCATTTTTACTCCTCCTTCCACTTTATGCACTAATTTGACCACAGCTGTAATGTGACAGTATGTTAGAAAGTTCCTGAGGTATGAATACTTCTGTAGGCCCTGCATTCGGCTGCTCGTGTCGCCGTAGCTGGTGAACAATCAGTCACTCAGTAGATAACGAGGGAAGTGGTGGTTGATGGCTTCTCGCTTGGTCCCTCTGGAAGATAATGTTTGTCTGGAGAAAAATTAAAGTGATATAACAAATTGAAAAGGGACGGGGGAGGGGTTAAGGAGGCCAAATTAGATTGAGCTGAAGACGGAGGGAGGAAGGAAGGCTAGCAGCGAGCAAGAGAGACCTGCCTCCGCATCGGTGACTCATTTGTTTGGTGTTTGTGCGTGCCTGTGTGGGAGGGTTTGAGGGGGGGGGGGGTGCAGGTGCCAAGCTGCTCAATTTCTTCCTATATCCACCTACAGCAGAGAGGCCAATAACTCCATTTTAGTCCAATACTCCTGAGGTAACTATTTTTTTCTTCTGAATATTCCCCAGGACTGCTCTGTGTATGAAACTGAAAACAAGATCCTGCATGTGGTGAGTTTCTAACTTTATCTGGCTGAACTGATCCTATAGTCACCTCCTGCTGGCTTTGTGCAGCGTTTTAAGAACGTGTTCATCCCCTGTTCTGTTGTCCTCAGTGTAAGACTCTGTCTGAAGTCTGCGACCAGATTATCTCTCTGTCCTCGGACCCCATGGTGTCTCAGTCTGCACACTTGGAGGTAGTGCAGCTTGCCAACGTGAAGTCCACCGAAGGCCTGGTAAGGCCCACTGTCAGCCACACTCCCATTGTTAAATGCATTTGAATCAGATCACAGACTCCACACAGCAAGTAAGAAGATAAGATGTTTGTCTAGTGCGAGAAAAATGGCAAAATAGAGTCTGATTGGGACAGAATAAAATGAGAGTAAATATTGGGGCAGCTTTCAACAAGGAGGGAGTTCAGATCTGCCCTGGAAAACAATGGTTTTCTTTTTACTAAAAGTTGAAAGTGCTCTGTTCAAAAAACTTTACTATAAATAACTTCTTTATGACCTTCTTACCTCATCTTACCAATCTAACCAGACATCTGCTAAAACTCTGGGAGTTACGCCGTGCTCCTTTAAGGCAGTTGCATTATCTCAAATTGGAAAGTTTAGTAAAATCTGACTCACTAACTCCATCATTATTATTAGTATTTTTTTTGCATTTTATTCTTTTCAAATTAAACGGACACCATGTAACTTTTGGCCACTAGGGGCGCTAGACCTGTACATTTCATGTCTGATTTCACGTCTACACAGGTTAAAACAGCTACCCTGCAAATTACATGGAAAAAATTTCTTTTAAAAATCAGCAAAGCAGTATCATGGACGCAGATTACCACTGCTATGTTCTATTGGCTTTGCTTTGTAAAACTAGGTATCTGTCATTTTCCGCGGAATGCCTGAGATTTATAGCCTTTGGGGTTCTGTTAGCTTTTGTTTGTCGCCTGCCAGCTTTGTCTGCGTGAATTTTGCTTCTACTAAACATAGAAAGTAATAATAAAGATATCTGACTGTATACTAGGAGCAAATATTTAACTTAGCATTCTAACAATAAAGTTGAGAAAAGGGAATCGGTTTTTACATCCGCCTTCTTCTTGTTTTTCCTCGATCCCTTTCCCGTTTTCTCTTTTTAGCCTCTTCAGAAGGTTTAAACTTTTTCTTTGCCTCATTCCATTGCCCCTGACCAGTAGTCGAGCAGCTGGAAAAATAGTAGAGCAAAAGCCTTAGATCCATGATGATATAAGAGCCTGTGGCATTAAAGCGATACGTTCTTCCAGGTCACATGACCTGGCAAATGACGGTGTGCCTTCTCCCAACTTACATAGTTGATATTTCTAGAGGGGAGTCCTGCTGGTAGCATTGATAGTGTCAATCGCTGTATATTGGCCTGAGGAATCATTTAAAATAACCCATATGTATCAACCATTTAGGTCAAAAAGTCCACGGTGTGCCTTAAAGTTTTTTAGAAACTAATGATCTATGACTTTTATTTTTCCTGTGATGTACGATGGTGTGACACAGAGTTGATTTGTTTTCAGGAACTAGGGAACGTGCTGAATGGAAACCCATTTTTAATACAGCTTCAACACACAGATAGCAGGACTGTAATTCAATTCAATTCAATTCAGTTTATTTATATAGCGCCAATTCACAACAAAAGTCATCTCAAGGCACTTTACAGTTCAACCAGATCATACAGTCAAATTGATTCAAAGTTTTCTAAGGAAAACCAATTGATTGCATTGACTCATTGACTCAAATACAATCCCTCACACTAAGCATGCTTGTAAGAGAGCGAAAGCAATATGCAAAGCTAGCTGTTAAAGAACAGCAGCAAAGACTGGCTCCCTGGGATCTCCAAAACAACCATTGCAACATTGTACTGTCACAAACGTAAATATGTGGAGTTGGTTTAACTCGTACCCATCTGTTCCACTGAATGCGGAATAGGTGCGGCTGTGCTGCAACCCTAGTCAGTCAGCTGCCGAAAAGCAAAGGGAATCTGGTCGAGTTTACAAGAAAAATACTAAATTTGTCGCCTGCCAGGACTTTTAGGTAATAAATCCTACTCATACACTTAATCAACAATCATAATAAATTTGAGAAGTGAACAAAAAAAATCTCTGAATCTGAACTCATTTAGATCTAAAGAAACGAGGGTGACGCCAGCATTGGGCAATAAACCACTTAACTGGTTCTATTGGGAGCCTACAGGTACTCTACTACAGAGTGTTTTAGATTGCTGTTTGTCGCTTTAACACTTCTTGTGGAATAGAGTGTTTGAAAGAAAGCACAACATGGCCTTACCCTGTCGCTTCCACATTCAGTGAAACCAGGATGATATGACTTTTCAATAGAGCTGCTGGCTTTGAAAAAGATGTTTAAAATGAACCTTTACTGTCGAAAACATTTTACAAAATGACCAATAGTTAAATATAAGGGAGGTTCTAGGATTATTCTGGTCTGTTTCTCTGCCAAAGGCTCTAGGGGTCTTGTGCATCCTATTGTAAACTATTTGAAATACCAGCATGATTACATAAATACGTGTTGGCGTCTTCCAGAAAACGGAAAGCGAGGACATCTCTGGGTGTCTCTTTCAAATCAACAAAGAAATAGTTAATTGTTCATACAATCAGCTTTCTCACTTGGTCATTTCGGTCCCCGGACCTAAACAGGAAAGAATTAAAGGGTGCAATGAGTAGAAATATGCATAAGAAAATCTACAGTTCTGGGTGATTCAGAGATAAATTGTCAAAAATCCCACCCTCGTTATGATGAATGCTTGAATAAATGTTTAATAAATGCTTTTATTTTCTGGGTTAAGCATCCATCTTATCGGCTTACAAATTATTCTTAGGTTGATTGATTTAATTGATCGATTGATAAGCAGCCATTTTCAGAAAAATCAGATGCTTTCATAACACGAAATGGCAATTATTTTTGCCAAATACCTGATTAAAGAAAACTATAATAACATTTTAAAAATTATTTTTTTAAATGCTGGCTGAATAAACAAAGCAATATTGTCATATGCTGCATTCAGGCCGGACGTATTTCTGGCGTCAACAACACCCAAACACAGAAATTTGGTTGCTGGATCAAACAGTGGTCAAGTTGGCTTGCAGCTTTGACGTTCCTGCTGCTCAGGGCTCTGGTTGTTTATCTGCTCTGTTCAGTAGCTTTAAGCTAGAGACTCGGCTTTAGTTAATTTATGAGTTGGAAAATAGTTTTAACATGTTTTTAAGTGAGAAAGTCCATCCTCTGTTCATCAGTTCATCAGGATTATGATCCCACTAAAATATGCAGTTCTTATTTGCTCTCTGCTGCAGCCAGCCTGTGGGGGATTTTCTGATTTTTTGAATGGTTGATGCTCTGGTGTCCAACGGCTAAACTTCAATTTAATGAACTCAAGCATCAAACACTCGGACGCCACAACACTCAGATGCCTTTTGACACTGTCCTCCATAGATTTTGCATGTAAATCAGATGCTTTAAGTCCCAGAACCCATCAATGGTATGAAAATACCATTACACATAACTAAACACTGATAAGTATATATATGATTTGTATAAGATAAAACATAACGGGAATCTATAAGGTTTCTGAATGAAAAAAGATGAATAAAATATGCGCAATACTTATGATTTCCAGTGTGCAAAGATGTAAAACTATCATTAAAAGCCAGGGTCTATTGCTGTAACATATTATCTGACTATTTATTGCTTTGTTTCAATGAATTGGATGCTAACTATAATGTACTCTCCTTATCAGCATTAAAAAGTGCAAATAATCCCGCCCTAAACCTACCATTAATTGATAATTATTCGAAAATCCGTTGTTTGTTTACATCCCTTGTCCAAGATTATCCTCCTGCAGAAAACATGAATTTATGCCTAGCATTTAATTTAATACATTCCCTTTTTATGGCGCAAAGATAATTAGTTGTCAATCTGATTTTAAATGAGCCCTGTTGATTAATCCTTTACTCCTCTGTAGCTTGATGTTAATGTGAAGAAAAACTCATCACAATCTTGTTTAGTGCATCAGTGGATAATAAAGATACAGATGATGCTGATTTCATTAGGGGGTTATTAAGACGTGCTCAGATTGATGTTAAAATGTAATTATTACCCCAAACCAAGAGTTATGTAATGAAAATTGCAGCTGTAGATGATTATTTTAGGTATTGTTAATATTTTAATGCAACCTGACTTTTTGATGCTGTTTTTATTTAGAATTTATATATATATATATATATATATATATATATATATATATTTTTTTTTTTTTTAAACAGACTTAGGTTTTAAAGAGCAAAGCAAGAGCATTTTTACCATTTTTTCTTACATACAACAAGAAAGCTACATCAGAATGTATATTGAAGCACTGATGTTGAAGCTAGTAATAATCTTCAGGGCTGTCATGTTCAATATAGAAAGGCCATGTGTGCCTGGGGGACACGGGGGATCTGGGGCTCGGATCCGTCCTCTCTACCTCAGTTAGGGATCCATCTACCTTCAGGTTTGTAATCCGAACAAACAGCGAGGACGACAGAAGGACTGACTGTTTGCCAGCCAGCGGACTAATGCTGCTGTCAAGCTTCCTTCAAGTGGATATATGTGTTTTTAACCATTAGTAATTGAACCCACTCCCCCAGCACCAAAGCATGATATCAGCTTTGATTATCCCCTCGCAGCAAACTGACGGTCACTGCACAGATTTCTGCTGTTTAATTCTCTGCAGAAACATGGATTGTGGACAGTAGTAACGGCATTAATAGTCAGTAAACATGAAGGTTTTAATAAACTGCATAGCTCAGACACTGATAGAAATCGAGGTTAACACCTTGAGCTCTGAATCTCAGTATACTCTTTCAGCCACTTCTGAGCAGACCGACATGTCCTGGATCACAACGATACACACAGAGATTTGACCATTCCTGGCTCAAAAAAAACCCAAACACCTTATTATAAAAAGACAGCAAGCCTTTTACCGACCGATGATGTTCCCCTACTTAACAACAACAACTCAGCTTTCTTTCTGAAATCTCCTTTTATTTCAGTAAAAAGTCTTTTTTCTTAAATAGATCAGAAAAATCTATAACCTTCTTGCTGCTGTAAAAACCAGAATTTCCCCAATGATGGAAAATTAAGGGATTTTCTATTCTATTCTATTCTATTCTATTCCATTCTTGTTCCATTCTATTCTTGTATTATTCTTAGGCACTGCTCAGTGGTGCAGTGGGTAGTACTACTGCCTTGCAGGAAGAAGGTTCTGGCTCCAATTCCCAGCCTGAGCTCTTTCTCCATTGAGTTTGCATGTTCTCCCTGAGTATTTGTGGATTCTCTCCGGGTACTCCGGCTTCCTCCCACAGTCCAAAAACATGATTGTTAGGTTAACTGGCTCCTCTAAATTCTCCTTAGGTGTGGGTGTGTGATGGTTGTTTGTCTCTGTGTTGCCCTGCGATGGACTGGTGACCTGTCCAGGGTGTACCCCTCCTCTCGCCTGTAGACAGCTGAAGATAGGCACCAGCACCCCTCGTGACCGCAGTAGAGATAAAGAGTGACAGAAAATAGATGGATGGGTTTTATTTGTACTTACTTTTTCTCTTTTCTGTAAACAGTTATACTGCAAGAAAATAATTTCCCACAAGGGATTAATAAAGTAATTCTGATTTACAGCTATTTTTTTAAAACAATGAAATTCCTCCAGGAATTTCTTCCAAAAGGAAGAAATGTTTTCTTATTTAAAAATACAATTTAATTTACAATTTGAATCAAACATTTTGATCTTTAAAACCTTGGAAAAATTTTGAAACTGATGGTTATACAAGACTTGAGCTTGTTCCTCTGCAGGCCAAAGTATTTATAAAGTTGTTTCTGACGAGAGAAAACTGCAGGTTGAAATATTGAGGTCAGTTTGAAGCACTGTGCTGTTTTACTGCCCAGCGTCCCATGCAGCTCAGTGTAGCTGCTCCAAAACTGGGTTTTGCTCAGCTGATGGGCATGTGAGTAATCTGCTAATACCCAACAAATAACACAGCCACAGTGCATGTGGTGCAGCTGCAACACTAGGCCAACATGTATTCCTTTATTGTTAGTAATTATTTAGAACAGAAACAGAAAAAAAGATACCCTTTGCTTGCCTGTATTGCCCTGAGCCCTTCGTTGAGTTTTATCTTTGCATTGACCTACACTCAGACTCAACCTCCTTGCTCGGGGCCACAATAAAAGCCCTACCCCCCACGCAAATGCCGGAACTGGGCATGGAAGTTCTCTCATCCATTCAGTGAACCCTGAACACAACAGTGAGCCAAGTGGCCTAAAAAGAATAAAAAAAACCACTCATCTTGAAGCCTGGCTTGCAGCTTCTGTGCGTGTTTGTTTGGTTCTTAAGCTCTTTACATTCCTCTCCTTTCATTAAAGCTTTGAGTTTAAGCGATCATGATTGTATTTTATGCAGATTAATAACCCTTCATGTTTGTTTTAATCTGCTTGGATGCAGAACTGAGTGGTCGACGGAGCCAACAGGGCCAAAATAAATAAAAGATAAAAAGTTAGTTAGATACATTGTATGAAAGCATTTATCTAAATTTGTTTGAAAATGGTGACTTTGATCAAAGTTCATCGTAAAAGTCATTGAAAGATCAAATAGAATAATTTCAATATTTTTTGTTGATTTTTGTTGTATACACTCTGTGCATACAAAATTAAAAAAGGTTGTCTAAGTCTCTTTTTTAACAAACTGAGCAAAGACAAAGTGTAAAACAGAAATAACAAAAATAGCACAACAACAGGACAAAATATTCTTTTAGAAAAACTGCTGTATACATTTAAAATGAAATTCAGAAAATGTGACTATGCAGCTTTAATTTGGAGTTTTAGGAAGACAAGCCTGGAGTCATGAGGTCCACCCAAAGGCCAGCTGTGGTTCTCAGAGGGATGTTTTTTATGGGATACAACAACATTTAAAAAATGGTGAAGTTTAACCTTCAACAAATGAAAAGTTTGATCTTTTACTCAAAAGTTAAAATCCTATTAGAAATAATATCATTTTTCTCATATTATCCATCTTTTTCTCTTCATTTTAAATTCATTGTAAAGAATAGGGCAAATATGTGGTGACTACGAATCATTTTCAGATCAAAACCTTTTACATCAGTAAAATATAAATACTAGAAAACAATCCTAATGAGCCTTTTTTAATGAAGGTATTGTTTATTTTCCCAGCCCACAATGATATACACTACTCAAAAAAATGAAAGGAACACTTTGTAATCAGAGTATAGCATCAAATGAATTAAACTTCTGGGATATTGATTTGGTCAGGTAAGTAGCAGAGGGGGTTGTTAATCACTTTCCCTTTCTAAAATAACCAGAATATGCTTTATGTTTTAGTAAAATGTTTAATTGTTGTGTTACTGTTGAAAAAGTGAAAAATACTAAACAATAAAATTAGTATAAAATGGCACAAAATGTGGCTTGATAAGACTGTTGATCATGTATCTCTGCTCATGAGCAAAAAATATTCAATGATGAAATAAATTGTTTGTTAAATATGAGATCTGTATTAATATGTAATATTCTCTCTAATATGTCAGGTCATTACCTGAGAGCACAAATCAAACGTTTTTTTCTTTGACTATACAAAGCAAAGTCTATCCAGATTTAACCTCATGTTTCTGTTCAGGCAGATTAATTCAGATTTATAGTTAAAAACTGATGATTTACAGACTAACAAGCTAATTCAGATCGCTGCTCTATTTTTTCAGGGTATGTACATCAAATCAACGTATGATGGTTTGCATGTGATCACCGGGACCACTGAAGGAGTGAGTTAAGCATATTTGTTTTCACCTTTGTTCACAAGTCAGGATGTTCACGCCGATTGGAGGCTTTTCATTTCAATTAAACATTTACTGAAAAAACACTACAACCATTTTAAATGTAATCTTTACATCTAACCTAACAGAATCCAGTTAGGAAAGCATTTTGTAACTGTCATTGAGGAGGAATTATAAATTGTATTTATTCATTTATTATTGAATACTGCAATTTAAAACAGTATTTTCAGATTCATTTTCTTAATGGAGATTTAAAAGACTGTCCTTATCGTCTGTATATTTTTGTATTCATTCTTCGTTCTATGTCTGAATGTAAAATGAAACAAAAACAAGAATAAAGTGACTATTTAAATGAAGATTGGATTGGGATTATTATATAATGCTATATTAATTAAATAATTAATGTATTATTCTTTTATTCATTTTACGATTTGAAACAGCCAACTTTTTTTTACATTTAATTTAATAAACTAATATATCCCGAAAACATATATTAAACTGTAAGGTTTCCAACTGAAAGTATTTGTTTAATTAAAGACAGAGGCCCTTAAACAGGAAACCTTCCTGCTGCTTTAGAGATGTTCTAGAACAGATGTATTTAGATTAGACTAAATACATCTGCCCCTACGGATGGGATCTATTTTCTCCAATGCTGGATCTAGAATGTTCTTCAATATAAGGACCTATACAGATATTAACATTGGATCAGTACATTTCTAGTTCCTATTAAACTGTTATTTCTTCCTTAATTAGCAATTCTGCTAAAGAATACAAGGGATTAGAATTTGATCACATCTCCTTTGCAAACATGTATTATGGAAATTAAAAGGATTTCAAATAACTAGCTTGGGGTGCTCCATAAACATTTTACACTAACTATGATCTCTGCTCCTCCACCAGTCCCTGGCTGATCGCTGTAAGAAGATCCATGCGGGAGATGAAGTCATTCAGGTCAATCATCAGACCGTGGTATGTCCATCTGAAGTCCTCGCTGCGTTATTTTACTTTCCTCTGTCCTGTTTGACTTTGCATGTGATTTTTTATGAACTTTTCTTTCTCCGCCTTTAGCTGTAGATCATTAATGAGCCACATGTGTAAGAAATTCTTTATTTAAGTAAAAGATGCATGTGTAAAAAAAAAGAACACTGTAAAAAAAAAGTACAATTACAGAAAAAAACTCCTCTACTTAAGAAAAAAGTTACTAACAAAGTATTTTTGCTAACCTCTTAACACTTCAACAGCTTGAAAAAGTAAAACATCATAATCACTTGTGACTGTCATTAAATCAATAGTGAAGATACACTGCTGTTGGGTTTTAAACTGATTATTGTCTTTTGTAATTAGGTTTTGAGGGCACTAATGAGGGAACTGGATAGATTTTCCTTTTGTTTGCTTTGCTGCATTGCTCAATATACAGATACCTTTTTATTTCCCAATATACAGCACCTAAAATCAATCATTTTAAAGTATTTTATTAGGAGTACATTAGGTTACTTTTAAAAAGGCTGGTTATGTAATAAGTGCAATTCTTTCAATTATTTTCACAAGTTATTACTTTTTATTAGTTGCACTTGGATGGAAATATATGCAAATTTGACTTAATGCATAATGAGCAGAAATGGATTTAAATGTTTTTATCAGGGAACCAGATCTGTTTTAGGTTATTAATTAATATCCGAAGCTTTAAACATTTCTCAGAGGAGCTCTGTTCAACAGATTGTCCGATAATGGAGCAAGGGCGTTTCTAAACTGTGGAGTAAATTTTGTCCCATTATTTTTGCAAAAAAATGCATAGAAAAAAAAAAAAAAAAACACATTTGGTTAATTTCATTTTGAAGAAAAAAAAATAATTTCAGAAATGAAACTATGAGAGAATTTGAATCAAAAAATGGTTTTGAGAGTAACTTCGCTCTTGTCTCATTTTTTTCTTATAATTCACATTTTTCAAAAAGTGACTTTACAGATTTTATATGTTCCAATTCAATTTTCTTTAAAATTTTTGTTTTTTGGATTGAGTTTTGTTTTATTTCTAAAATTGTGTTTCATTGATCACATTCTCTTCACTTCAAGCCCAATACACATACTCGCTCTTGATGCGCACATTGACCAACAGAAATGTTGCAGCTAACGTCCATTCAGATCAATAGAAATGATTCCTCCCTCCAGACAGAGACCTGGCCCCAGATGTGAAGAGAATGTGATCTATTAAAGGCAAGTAGAAAATCATTTAATTTGTGAAACTCAGTCTGAAAAGAAATTGCAAACATAAAATCTTTTTACATTTTTGAAAACATTACATTTTGAAAGAAGGAAAAGTAAAAAAAAAAAAGAAAATATAAGATCTAAAATCTAGAACTGAAGAATAAATTTTGAAACCTGTTTTGAAAATATACCATCTGCAAAGCAGCAGTTACTCTTCAAACCTTTTTCCCATCAAAGCTTTTCCAAGATTTGATTAATGGATTAATTTTTATTTTTCAATTTCCATTTATAGAATGTGTTCTTTGCTTTCAACAATAATGCAGAAAAAAAATCGCCATACTGGGCTACCCCTTTCATTTAACTGCAGGGTAAAGTAGAGAAATAACGCAGTTGACACATGGAAGGATGCACTGAGATGTCAGAGTAGATCCTCTTTAAATAAGGGTGCACTGATTGATTAGTCCTGATAACCTTATGTCGGTTGATTTGTGATTGGCTGATACTTCTGAGAATCTAAGAATTAGCCACAGTCCCGGCCTTTAGCTTCTCGTTTCTATTTGAGAGCACCACCTCATGTGGAAGTTGCCTCATTGTTTTTAATCAAGATAAAATAGGCACATTAAAGGTGTATTATAACTCTATAACACCTGACGGTGTCAGGTATAAAAACAGGTTTTTCCTTCAAACAGGAACAGAAATGCCTGTCGAGGTTTAATGGGAAGATGATGGAAAAGAATAATGCTGGATAAAAACCAATAAGCCTTTTCATTTTTCACACATAGCTTTTTAGATACACAAAGTTACTACAAAATACATTTATTAGTTTGTTTGATGGACAGATTTAATGTTTGTGTTTAGCTTTTTTTTCTCCTTTAAAACAAGTCTCCATCCACCCACACAGCAGATTTTACATAACAGTGAAACATCTTTGCTTACTTTCCATACACTTCAGATGGCGGCATACACTGCACACCTTAAGTCATCTAACTGTGCAAAGTAAAAGAAAGAAAAAGCACAGGAAAGGAGATATATGACAATAAAAAGCGTTAGAAATAGTCCTTTCTGGATTCAAATGAGGAGAGATGCTGTTTCTCTGAATCCTCAATATCAAGCTAGGAAAAGAAAACCGAAGAAAAAGTGCCTGAACTTGTCCTCCTCCTGCTGTAACATCAGCTAATCTTTTCTAAAATGTTTCTTTGACATCAACCCATAACTGCAAAATGCGTCCCATCATAAAGCGTTTGCAGTTTATTTGTGAATGGAAAAAAAAAGCCTCCTGCAGTGCAGAGTTTAAATATAGCTCCTTTTGTTAAGAATAATTACCGCCTGTGTGTGCAGCAGCCAGATATATGATAACAATTCCACAGCTGCTCATTTCAGGCTCATCTACCAAATGCTCTTATTTAGAATATGGTTAAAAGCTATGAAACTAGAAATCTGCTATAAGTGTGTACGCTTATAAATATGAGCTGTTTTATTTTGAACACATGCACATGAACTACCTTCTACAATCATTTTGAACGTTTTATGCGTGCCCCCTATATATCCCATGCATAAATGCATGCTCCTACACTTTGCTTGTTGGTTGCTTTTTATGCTCTTGTAGATTCTCCTCTTGTGGACCTTTTACTGTGCACTCCTGTCAATTCCTGTTACTTTAGGGGGGAACCAACCTGAGAAAGTAAACTGCGAATGATTGGTTACTTTCCAGGAAATCCCGCCTCTTAAGATAATTCTGTTTTTATTCTAGCTGCGGCTAGTAACGTTAGTAAGCATCTTTAGGCCAGTCGCTGTTCTCCTATATTTGGAAAAAGGTATTCAGCTATGCCAGGGGTCGGCAACCCGTGGCTTCGGAGCCGCAAGAATTTGTAAAAATGTATGAATAATGATTTTTTTGTTTGTTTATTTTAACATAATGTGCAGGAGATCAAACATTCACTTCAATTTCCAATGCTGTAAAAATTTGTATAATAAATACATTTAAACAATAAAAGTACAAATTTCTTTTAACGAAAATTTGCATCATTGCCATAGAGATCATTGGTCATAGCCTGCAATACACGTTTGCAGGTTATTCCAGAATTTCCAGGTTCAGAAGGATTCTCAATGGTAGGCCTATTAAGATAAGGCAACCGATGCTCAGAGTGGGTTTTTTCCCACCCAATAAAACCCAGCATTGCTGATCCGATGCGTAGCTACCTTACCGCGTCTGCAGGTGATGATATGGTTGTAGCATTAAAAAAAAGTTGCTAAAGTCTGGCAGCTCGTGAGTGAAGAGCAGCTCAAGGGGTTTGACAGCTTAACAAGCCGGTGCTGTGTGTAAACACATTTGACATGTTGGATGATCCCAAACAGCATTGTCAGTCAGCATGAATGTTAGAACAGTGCACATATTGTGACTGTCTTTAATGCACCCTGGCATACTCTTAGAGTAGGAATAGATAGAGCTGATGATGATTTATCTTGAACATGCCCCCAAAAAACCTTGATCAAGGTGGATTGACTTTGATGCGTTCAGGTTTTATGTTAAAAGGAACCCTAATCAGGGGAAGATTATACAAAATAGCCTGCAGAGGTCATCAAGAAGTTCTCTGGGTCAGTAAAATACATTAGATTAAAATGTGAAAGATGTATTTTTTTATTGTAATGAAAACTATCATCAAGGAGAGAAGTTTTCTTTAGAAAAGTTTAGGGAATTTTTGAGAGACACCCTCCTGCAGGGATGGGGCCTCACCATTATAATACACTAACAGTTGGTTATATCTACAGAATTTTAAACTCTTTTCGTTAAATCAAGCCTCTTTGTGGAAGACTCTGTCAGACCTACTTTCATCTCCTGACTGTCACGCCATTAAGATCCACCTCTACCAATCATCTTCTTCTGCTCTCATCAGCAACACTCAGCTTTACGTCTTTTGCCAGGGTCTGAGTGGCATAATATTTATATTCATTCATGTCAAGAAACTTCCAAATCGATTGCTTGTCTTCTTGTGAGTTTCTCCGGGTTGGAATTCTTTATTTCAACATGTAGGGTAGAGTCCTGCAACGGGTCGGGTATCCGCGGGTCTCCGACGGGTCACCCGCTAAAATGCTCTTTTGCGGGTGAAAAATACATAAATAAAAATAAACGGGTACGCGGGGTCGGGCTGATATTTTTTTAGTGTGGGCGGGTAGTTGGTGATTTTTTGTTTTTATGCGTGTGTGTTGTTATGGACATCAGAAATGTTATATTAATCAGGCACTGGGGTCACCTTTGTTGTAGCTTAAAGCCCTGCTGGCAGTGTGGGCTTCCCTCCAAAAAGGCCACAGTCAGTGCCTACACGTCTGCTGCAGTGCTAATGGCGCTGTTCGTACTATAGCCTATTACTTGATGTGTTAACGGGACGGGTTGCGGGTTAAATATCAACAGGTCGGGTCGGGTTCGGATTTGAATTGAAGATATCCGCGGGTGACGGGTCGGGTTCGGTAGTCATCCTAACGGATTTGGGCGGGTGCGGGTTGGTAAAACTCGACCCGTGCAGGACTCTAATGTAGGGTATTCCAAAGTTTAAAAATATATACTATATATATATTGCGTAATCAAGTTTTTTTGAAACAACAAAAAAAGAAAAGTTCACACCTGAAGTTTTGGAGGAAATATAAATCTATTGTTGATTAACTTAATACCTAAACCTAATTAAATTTCTTTGGTTTATTCCCTCACCGAGGGCATTGCACTAATCTTAACATTGGTGGATAAGAAACCAAACCTAAAGTAGGTGGATTTTATATTACTTTATTAAACAAATCTGTTTAAGCAAACCTTAAGCAGAGGCGGTGGACTCAGATTTTAGCTTTAAAAAACATACAATGCAGCAATTGACCTCGCCCATTCAGCCACAGTACCTCAGTGTTGCTTTAAATATATTTTTAATTATTTAATGGGACATTTAATCATTATATGTGCATTTTACTATTTAATGGTATGTTTCATATGTGATAATATTTTATAAATAAATACAAAGATAAATAGATAAATCTAATAATTTCATAGTACGTGTATTTATTTAATGACACATTTACCTTTATGTATTTCATGATATATTTTGGCCCTCGATATACCTCAGGGATCACATCACAATAATTGTGAAAACAATCTTGAGGCTCTCCAACTGCTGTTGTGTGACCCCCAAGGGGGGGTCCAAACCCCAGACACCCCAAGTTTCCCGGAAGTTCCGGGAGTCTCCCTATAGATAGTTGTTCACGGATGTCCGCTAGTCGTATAAATTATCCCGGATTTTACACTATGCAAGGTGGTGTTTTTTTTAATGCGAGTGAGAGCGGGCAGTACAATAATTCTTGCATCATTAGAACTACTGAGATTGCGCAGACAGAGAGCGGGGTGTGGGGAGGAGGTTGCTGGTGAAAGCTGTGTAGCGTATTTGTCCAAAGCGATGCTCTGTTCAGTGAGCGTTCCAGGCGACTGGTTGTCAGAGAGCTGATTGGATCCGTCTGATAAGTTTCTCTGGGTTACTCTCTGGTAGTCACCTTGTTACCACTCAAAGCTGTGCATCCTGTGAAATGGCAGAGGTTGAATCCTCGAGTAAAAACTTAAAATGTCAGACTAATTTTACAGCAGAGTATATTCAAGTATATCCACCTCTAGTGAAGGTGAGGAACAGAGGCGGATCTAGACCAAATGTACCAGGGGGCAAGGAGGGGGCCAGCGTGTTTTCATGGGGGCACAGAAGAGCATGAAATAAAAAAAGCAGGGCAATGATTCAAATATACTAAGAGCACTGCATGACGTGAAATTTCTTTTCAATTAGGTTAAATAAATATTCTATTTCTTATGAAGTCAATATACATTTATAGTTTAGGACCTTTACATATTTTTGACTTAATTTAAGTTAAAACTACCGTTTTCTATAAAATTTAGATTAGAATTCAAGACAAAACTGTTAAATTCATCTGTAAAAATTAGAGCATTTTTTTCCCTATTTGTTGTGGAAAAAAACATTTAGCAGATGAGAACTGGGATCCTATCTCAGTATCTCAGTACCACTGAAGCTATCACCTTATTGTTTTGGAATAATTACTAAAACAGAATTAGTAAAGAAAACAAATGAAATAGATCCAAAGGACCTATCAGTAACCATGTCTGTTCCAGCGCATATCATCATTAGAATTTCTGGTGAGGTGAGGAATGATGACACCACGGCGAGGTGCACCTCTGCTTTAGATAAACACAAAGAAGAATAAGGAGGATTATCTGAGAATGAAATTACAGAAACTGTATAAAAAACAAAACCAGTGAGACGAGCTGGAAAACGAGAGCAACAAAAAAAAAAAGCTGTGTAACCAAAATATACGATTTAAAGAAGATTCTTCCAGTGGATAGTAAAAAACAACTTTAAGCTAGTAAATCAAATGACCAAGTGGATGTAATGTTATTTTTAGATACATTAGTAGGATAAGACAGCAAAACAAATACCAGAAGTAAGTGCTTTACTAATGTTTGCAATTCACTCTTTGTAAAAAATCTATATTTGAAGTAGCTGTCAAAAGGAAAAATGACTTTCAGGGAAACACAGCGATCTCCGGGTCAGAGGCTGAAAATGCTCAGCATCTCAGGCTGGTTGGAGATAAAGACCCACGATACACAAAGATTCAGTGTAGACATGCAAACAGGCAGAGATTTCTCTCCCCAAACAGGACGTGGCGTATTTAGTTCAGCAGCAGGCAGTGTTTGTCTGGGCACGTTTTCTTTCTCTTCCATTTGCCTTTAGGTACTGGTTAGAGACGATTTACAAGGCTTGAAACTGTTAGCATCACACAGCAGTTTTGTATTCAATTATATAATTATTTGAGCTTCACAAACACTTGCTACTTTGTGCTGGTCTGTCAGCATGAGGTCCGACTAAAACAGGTGGAAGTTTGGTTTTAATGAAGAAAATGTGCCTAAAGTGAAACAGTATGAATAATCTTTAATCTGATTTAAAAATCATCACCGTCCATTTAAAGGTTTCTGATATGTAGGTTAATCATCCGCGCTTTGATGGCAGTGTGTGTTAAAGCTATTTATGTTTGTTAGGTGGGCTGGCAGCTGAAGAACCTGGTGAACCTGCTGCGTGGGGACCCTGCAGGTGTCACCCTTACACTGAAGAAACGCCCACAGAGCACGCTCACGTCCACTCCCGCTCTGCTCAAAAACATGAGATGGAAACCATTAGCTCTGCAGGTAGGGTGGCAGGTTTCAGTTTGTTTTAGCCTGACCGTCTCTGTCATTTCTGTTCTTATTTCTGTGCACCCATATTGTCTGTAAAATGAGAATCACAACATAAATGCATAAAATATAAACCAGGCAGAGGGTTCTGGAGCGGGTAACCTACGAGGTAGCGTACACGTTTTTCAGGAAAACCCCACAGAGTTTGCTTTGTGCTTTGTGTTTTTTTTCTTTAGATATTAGGATTGTTCTCTATCATTCAGATGTGGGATATTTTTAATCACTGGCAAAGCATTAACTAAACAGATTGTTATTGCTAAATTTAAACTTGTGGCTAATTAGCTGAGTGCTCTGGCATCATTCATTTAGATGTCATGATTTCATCCCTAAGTGGCATCTGTTGTCCTACTTCAGCCAATCTAGTTACATTATTAGGACAGCACCACCAGGATGGGTGGGAAGGAGAGGGACAAGCATTAAAGTGGTCCAGGCTTTCTTTGAGTCCCATTCCAGAGAAAAGGTTTTCTCTCCCCTGAGGCCACAAAGTACAGTCATGCTCAGCCTCTTTCCCTTAATGCCGTCTTTCTCCTCTTCTTCTACAAAATTGTTTTGTTTTTTTCTCTTGCTGGCAGCTTGAAGGACGGAAGTGAGACAAATAAAATCTGTCAGATATTACACAGGAATAAATGTAGAAGTTAGTAGGTAGAGATTTTCCTCATAACACTTTAAACTCATAATCCTTTCACAACTCAAAACATTAAAAGACAAACTGTCTTTTCGTTTTTTGAGTTGTGAAAAGATCAAGGTGCAATGAATATATTAAATAACTAGTTTAGTTGATTAATAGTCATTAAAGTCAAGGATAAAACCAAGTAATGATTATTACCTAAATTGTTGTAAATGCAATCTGCTTATACACCAAGGTTCTTTAGTCTTTTACTCAGGGTTAGAGTCCTGGACCAGCAGTTAAAACCCAGTTGTCTTTGATTAATTTAGTCATTTAAACTATGTTTATCAGCAGAGTTATTAATCACTAACAAAAGAAATCGTCTCTGTTCATTCAACTGTTAATAAAAAGGAGGGTGGATCTGGCTCTGAGTGATCATTTCCAGAATTTCACCAGAACTTCTCCATTGTGGGACAGTAAAGGGATTTTCTATTTTTCTATTCTGAATCGTTTCCTCTATAAAGAATCACAGACGACCACGGGTTAAAACCAGCGGTACCTGGCTAAGAATCCCTATTATAGTATTACTGTATCGAATAACTATGTAAACACTTCGCACTAAGGAAAATAACTACAAGGTCAATGAAAAGATAAAATAAAAATGGGCTCTAAGAGTGCGTTCAAACAGTCTCTAAAGGACGTTCAAGTTTTAAGGCTTGTGGGTACATGCATTTAAGATTGTCCTTTAAAAGAGCAGCAGATAAATGGGAATACCAACTGATGCAGAGATCTTAAATGCAATCAAAACAGTGAAGCTTCACTTGGTTTTACAGTGAAAAATGAACAATGACTCAGGAATTAATTAAAATGCAGCACTGGAGCAAAATGGGTTAGCTCAGATGACATCAGGAGACCCGGACTAAGGAGGGGCTCAGCTGGGACAAAAGAGGCTATAAAACGTGCTAAAATGGCTGCCACCACATATACGCTTGGCCAAAGATCAGGTAGCTTAAAGCAGCAATACTAGCCAATCCACCCTTTCTGTTCAGACAAAGGGTAATAAACAGAGACAGAAAAACACAGTGCTGATTGTTCATTGAGCGTTGGCATTCAGTTCAGAACATTTACTTAAAAACCATTAACAGTTGAATTAAAAAGTTCCTTCAGATAAAACACAACACATGCAAAAATATTTATTCTAACCTCATCCTAGCTAAGTAACCAAATAAGTACCAGATAAAAAGTGGGGAAAAAGGAGAGTTACTGTGTGCTGAATCAATGGAAAGTAGGGGACGATATCTGGTTTGGTTCAGTTCTAGAAAACTTCACGTCCAGTTGAACTTTTTCCTGCTTGACCTGGATGACTGAAAATCTTCACAGATATGTTTAGTTGAGTTCCGCTCAGGAACACTGACTTGAATTATTCTGATGTCAAACAATAGGGGGGCAAATACTTTCACAAAATTTGCTTTCATAGTTTATAAAGTACTCAATGGACTTTTACCACCGCCATTAATGGAGTTCATAAAACTGAAATCCTCTTCTGGCAATGCCACACTCGGTCTACAACTAGAGGAGACTGTGTAGTGCCCTTAAGATGGACCACCTTTGGCCAGATTGTTCTTTCAGTCAGCAGCTGTAACATCTGGAACAGCATCCCTCTCACTATCAGAGAATCCTCCACTGTTAACACATTCAGAACTCAGTTAAAAAAAAATCAACAATGTGGCTCATATATACCGGTATATATATATATATATATATATATATATATATATATATATATATATATATATATATATATATATATACACTATATTGCCAAAAGTATTTGCTCACCTGCCTTGACTCACATATGAGCTTAAGTGACATCCCGTTCCTAATCCATAGGGTTCAATATGACGTCGGTCCACCCTTTGCAGCTAGAACAGCTTCAACTCTTCTGGGAAGGCTGTCCACAAGGTTTAGGAGTGTGTTTATGGGAATTTTTGACCATTCTTCCAGAAGCGCATTTGTGAGGTCGCACACTGATGTTGGACGAGAAGGCCTGGCTCTCAGTCTCCGCTCTAATTCATCCCAAAGGTGTTCTATCGGGTTGAGGTCAGGACTCTGTGCAGGCCAGTCAAGTTCATCCACACCAGACTCTGTCATCCATGTCTTTATGGACCTTGCTTTGTGCACTGGTGCACAGTCATGTTGGAAGAGGAAGGGGCCAGCTCCAAACTGTTCCCACAAAGTTGGGAGCATGGAATTGTCCAAAATGTCTTGGTATGCTGAAGCATTCAGAGTTCCTTTCACTGGAACTAAGGGGCCAAGCCCAGCTCCTGAAAAACAACCCCACACCATAATCCCCCCTCCACCAAACTTTACACTTGGCACAATGCAGTCAGACAAGTACCGTTCTCCTGGCAACCGCCAAACCCAGACCCGTCCATCAGATTGCCAGATGGAGAAGCGCGATTCGTCACTCCAGAGAACGCGTCTCCACTGCTCTAGAGTCCAGTGGCGGCGTGCTTTACACCACCGCATCCGACGCTTTGCATTGCACTTGGTGATGTATGGCTTGGATGCAGCTGCTCGCCCATGGAAACCCATTCCATGAAGCTCTCTGCGCACTGTTCTTGAGCTAATCTGAAGGCCACATGAAGTTTGGAGGTCTGTAGTGATTGACTCTGCAGAAAGTTGGCGACCTCTTCGCACTATGCGCGTCAGCATCCGCTGACCCCGCTCCGTCAGTTTACGTGGCCTACCACTTCGTGGCTGAGTTGCTGTCGTTCCCAAACACTTCCATTTTCTTATAATACAGCTGACAGTTGACTGTGGAATATTTAGGAGCGAGGAAATTTCACGACTGGATTTGTTGCACAGGTGGCATCCTATCACAGTTCCACGCTGGAATTCACTGAGCTCCTGAGAGCGACCCATTCTTTCACAAATGTTTGTAAAAACAGTCTGCATGCCTAGGTGCTTGAATTTATACACCTGTGGCCATGGAAGTGATTGGAACACCTGATTCCAATAATTTGGATGGGTGAGCAAATACTTTTGGCAATATAGTGTATATGCGCGCTATCTTTGCATTTGAGCAGTTTTACCTTTTTGTTTTTTCATATTTCTGAATTAGTTATATTCATCATGATTGTATTTGATAATGATTATAGGCGTACATCATCAAATACATAACTGAGAAGCTACTGATGTTTGGCCAAATTATGTCTTATTATTATTGATTTAATCCCAGTTTTAGGAGAACTTCCAGAAAGGTTTGCAAGGAGTGGACAGAGGGGATTATCTTGAGGCTAAATGCTAATACCAAAAGCAACATCAGAATTACAGAGGTTATCTCTGAAGTTTGGTACTTATGGAGCACTTTAGATTTAGATAAGATAAAAAGTGATGATTAAAATCATTCAAAACATTGCAATAATTGGTGAATTTATGTAGCATTTTACCAAAAATCATGGAATTAGAAGTTGCTGTTTTTAATTCCCAGCATAATTTAGTGTCCACGGTTTCAAAATAAAAACTTTAATCCCCCCTCTAATGCCATGTTATCCTGCTATGACTGAGCTGACTGCTGGCTCACCCTGAAGTTAGAACATTTCTTGCTGTCATAGGTCATAGAATGTCAATGCTATGACTATTAGGCATTATGCTGCGTCTACGGATTATCAGGGAATTTCGCCTCAGCTGTTTGAATGCATTGCTTTTGGTGGATGTTTTGGAACTATGTTCTTCTGCAGAGCTGCATATTATGTTTGTGCAACTGTAGCATAATCAGAAAATGGTTTTACAGAAGAAAACTTATCTTGCGCCAGTCTTCTGGAAACTGCCTTTTTTATTTCCTGCTGAAATTTTCTGGTGAGAACTACCTTGTGTGTTAACTTAGCTCTGCATTGGTGGCTGCATGATTATGTAGTGCAGTCCTCAGGAGAAGACTGGCCTCTTTGCTGTGCAGCTTTTGACCTGAACTTTCTTCTATACAGCCAAACTCATGAAGAGGTGATGGCCGTTTGCTTTTCGGTCTGACCTGTCAGCAAGAACCGCTGCCGCTATTCTAAAGCAATCAGTTGCTGATTAGATTGTTAGACGGGTTTCAGTTTGAATCAGTCTCAGCCTCACATATGCTACTGATGCTAGACCGCCATCTTGGCTTTTTATTTTTGATGATGTGGAACAGATCATTCAGTTTTACATGAAAAATACAGTAACCATGTTTTTTGCTACCTTTCTAAACTAGAACTGGTTCCCTCATCGGTGGAAAGAATCCAAGTACTGTGATTTAATAACGCAGTGGTAAAGATATAGTTTATAGTGGTAAAAACAAACAGAAAAAGGTATACATCCAGTCCCTAAAGCAATGACGACGCTGCTCTCTGTCTGTGAACCAGTGTTGCATACGTCCTTTGCTCATTTCACAGCTGAGCTCTGCCGCTCCTCTCTCTGACTAAAATAAACATTCACACACCAACGCAGCTTTTGTAAAGTCCAAATTTTCATTGTGTCATTTGCTGTCCTTTTCTTCTCTGTCCGCCTGTCTCTCTGTCTGTCACACACATCTAAATGCACCCTCTCTCTCACACAAACACACACTGATTCACACACAGCCCATCTTCCCTCAGAGCCCCAGCAGCAGCGTCGCAACGCCCACCAGCACATTAAGCACTCCCTCCAGGCGAGGTAGCTGTGCCCTGCAGGATCTGTACATCCCTCCACCTCCAGCAGAGCCTTACACCCCCAGGTGAGCATGAAGAAGAAACACTGAAGAGTGCAGTCGCTACAGTGGCCATGCAAGAATTTGTGTTTCATTGTTTTAGGGTCAAACATCTCAGTAAAGCAACCCACAACACTGACCTATTTTTTGCAGAAATAATAAGCAAAAAAAAGCTGTTTAAAAAGTGCCGTGCAGTACCTATGCTTATCAAAAAAACAGGAAAAAATAAGAAGCAACATTGCTATTTACAGCCAGACCTAACATGATTCACACTTCAGGGAAATCATGTTTTATTGCTTATTATAGTTAAATCGCTATTAACATTTTGAAATGGTCTCATTACTCTGTATTAAATGTGCTCTTTTAAGTGTGAAAAAGTGAATGAAACTATAGATGTACCCATTCTACTTTACCTTTGAGGAAATACCAATTAAGTTTTGTTCTTAGAAACAAACTTCTTGGTTAAATACAAGTTTAAGTCAATTATTTTCTGAATATCTTTGAGCAGAAAAGTAAATATTTAGTGTTTAGGATAGAAGAATGAAGATGACCTTTTTTTCTTTGCAATTAAAAGGTTTGTTGAAAGATGTGGGTATGATTAACTGAATAGCAGTAGACTGATTAGTTGACGGGTAAGAAAGGTGGATAAAGACTGAACAGGATGGTGGCAGGCAGAGGTAGTCTAGGTTGTGACCAGAATCAGAAGCTGTTGAAAACCCAGAGGGGGCAGGGTGATTACAGGAACAGAGGAACACTGGAAAAAGTATAACGTTGCTCAAATAAAAAAATGATGTCCAGATATCGCATCTAAAATATTTGACTCCACAGAATCTGAATTGAATCGCTTGTTATGACCTGATTATATTATGTTGATGCAAACAATAATACTGCATTTGACACTTAAAATCTTTGCCCAGTTCCAAATGATTTTCTAAACATTTCAGTTGATGAACCAAACTAATATATTGACATTGGACCAACCTAATATACTTACTTTTAACTAAATTAACAAGAATTAATGTTTGTATAGAAACCAGTTAATTTAAATATAACCAAATTAGATTTTTCACATATCATTTCACTTTGCTTCAGAAATATTCCATTTCCCATCTTACAAACTCTATACACCCCAGAGAAGTTGCTACCCGCAACCTTGTTGCTGCAAGGCAGCAGCGCTAGCCACTGCGCCACTAACCACTCTAGCATGGTCTGGGATTTGGACTTGATCACGTGCTCTGACTGCCGCAAAGCGCAGTTCACATTTGACTCAAACAAAAAATTATTACCTGCAGGCCATGAATAAATATATACATATTGAAAGAAATCAAAAACTTTGTTTTGGGTCCTTTGTACGTGTATTTAGTTCAGGTTTAATCAAACTGGATGTCTCAAAATCCAAAAAGAATGAGTTACACAATCAAATCAATAATTTTATCTAGTTTAGATTGAAAAGCATTAGTTTGAATGAACAGTTACATGTTACTTTTTTTCAGTGAAGGCAGGTGGTGCACACAATCACTGGGAATGGACTCATGCAGGCCACAAAACAATCAGGCAAAAACTGACTGTGAGAGGCAGGTATAAATAGGTAGAGTAACCACTGGTAGAAATTTGGATGATTACTAGAGAGGCAGGTTTATCTGCTGACTCTAATTAACTTTAAAGCAACTAAACAGAGGCACGCTACATAATTTTTGTATTTTCTTTGGTAGCTAGGTAACATAAAACGAAGCCATTTTTTCATGTACAATATCATTGTCACTTGGAAGAAACAAAATTTGCCAAAGTGAGACAGGAAAACCAAAAACCTTTATTCTTTTTATATCTATATTAATATTGATGGGTTATATTAACTTAAGATTCTTATCGATACATTTATTAGCTATTTAGAGTGTAAAAACCATTTTGCTATATTGAACCATTATAGTTTGGTTGTTTGGGTCTCCTGAAGGATCCTTATGACACCAGAGATTTCATCTGCCCAACTTTGAGACGTTTTGTGGCGAATTTGACAAACTGATCATTTAATATTTGCTGTAAGGAGATGTGATGAGATGAGTTTTTTCTTCTAGTATGAGGATTTTTTAGACAGTAAAGTCCAATTACTGAAACATTTCGACCTAATAAGCAATCTATACAGCTGGAGACTAGATCCTTTATTCCTGGTGAATATTAAGACTGTTCTTTATTTAAAATATGTAGTTGAATTAAAACCCCAGACATACATGAACTAAGATCCATTTTAACTGAGAGCTCAGTTCGTTCACATTTTTAGCCTCTTTTGAAATCTTGGTTTCTTTTTAAGAGACGACAAGGCAAATCTTACAGACGAGGAGTCTCAGTCGGATGGCCGGACCGCAGAGCGATCCGAGTCACCAAACTCCTATCTGGACCAGGAGTGTCGGCGACAATTCCCTCTGGTAGAGGAAGACTCCATACTCTACTGCTATGAGTACGACCAGAATCAGGAGGCCTCGTCAGTACGCAGCGGGAGCACTCCCACCTACGGTAAGAAATCGTGATCGTTACCAGCTCAAAAGTCGCAGAAATAAGCTGTGTGTGGGTTTCTGAGTGTTCTTGAGACATCAGCAGCTGTTTGATGTGTGTGTGTGTGATATTGACATCCCCCTGCGCCTACTTGCTGCAGGCAGGCTCAGGCCCATCTCAATGCCTGTGGAATACAACTGGGTGGGAGATGACGAAGACCTGGCGAAGCTGAGGAGAGAGAGCAGGAGAGGTGAGTGGGAGGCAGTGGGAGAGAGAAAGTAAGGGAGGCAGAGAGGGACATAGGGAAGCTGGGGTGAGGGGGAGGATATCTTATAATACCTGCAACCTCTCCGATCCCTGAGCCAAGAAGTTGAAGCATGAGCTGGACCTGTCAACACTGATAACACGCTGGATATCAGCTCCTGCCTCCTTCTCCTCCATATGTTCAGAATCTATAGCTCCGTTTTTCTCCTTCATCCCCGTCTCTCTCAGTCCTGCTGTTCTCCGTCTGGATATAAAAAGTACACTGTTGCTTTGGCAACGGTTTAACTATATTTTCTTGAGGTTCTTGCATTTCATTGGTGGCTGCTATGCTAGGTGGTTAAAGCTGCATCTCCTTTAAATCTTACCCTGAGAAAGAATTGAGTGACGTGTTAGTGTCCTCTGAGAGAGGTTCTCGCCCCTCTGGGCTTTCCAGACAAAAAAAGTGATGGTGCTATATTTATCTGCTGGAGACCTTTTATACATGTTTTGGGGCCTTTCTGTCTGACAACAGCCTCCTCTCTAGACAGTATAATAATTTGTAGATGATGCAGTGGAGGGTTTTGGAAACATTAGCTGCAGACTGTTTTATATCATTCACACATTGCTCTGTGTTGGCTTAGTTGTTGGGATGGGATTCACTGATTCTCAGTTTAACCTGCTTCCTAATGTTGGCTGGACTTAGTTTTGTTCTTTCAGACAGTAGTCGTCCAGCTTCAGTTCAAAGGCTGATAAATAATGCTACGTTCACACCTAACGCGATTGAAGCAGCAAAAATTGCCTGCTGGTTCATCTTTGATGCTTGTCAACATTAAAATCAAACATCCAGTAAAGTGTCTCCAGATGTGTTTGATTCTTCTGCTGCTCCTGTGTTTAATGGCAGAGAGCGGCTTTGCTATATTTGCTGTGATCATCTCAGCAGTCAGTTCATCCAGATTACCATCCTGCCTTCAAATATTATTTCTCTGTCTGAGCCGCTCAGACCTCCACATACTGGCGGTGCGCTGTCACTGGGAATCCCCAGCAGCAGCTGCCTCAGGGCTGGTTGCCTCTTGGGGGTTTTCCCCTACTGTTGGTGGCAGCTGGAAGTAGATGTTACCTTTTTTCAGGTATGTCGTACACACTGCAGTTACCAGAATAATAAAAGCAAACATATTTTGCCAGCAGGCTCGATATTTTAGGTTAATTTAGGCGTTAATAAACTGTTTCAGGGGAGTGATCATAGCGCTCTGCATCAGCAGCGCTGTGTTTTTTTCCCTGCCAGCTCTCAGATCAGCTTTTTGATTGGTTGATGTGCCTCAGGTGCTTAGAAACTAATGAGGCACTGGTTCAGCTGCACAGATGCTTCAGGATGCACTGATCCTGCTGCTCGAAACATGCTGCAGGATCTTTTTATCTGCCTTGATGTGTGTCAACCATTGACTTTGCATCTAAACCAGCTGCTTTTGCTGCTTCAATCGCATGCGGTGTAAACGTAACATAAATGTTAACTTACGTTTAGCTATATTTGGATCCCTATTAGTCACTGTTAGACTGCAGATCATCTTCCGAGTGTCTGACAGGTTACAGTTACACAGTAAAATTACAGTAAATAAATACCATGATAAAAGCAGACTTTAACAGGTAACATACCTTACAAATTATAAACAAATTAAAACAGTCGTGTCATCTAAATCAATCATCATGCTATGTATACTATATAATACATGCTGTTAACCACTGGTGAGCGGTTAGGGTCTCAAGGCTTTCACTGCTGGCCTAAAATCAATCAGAAACACTAACCTACATTCACAACCTAAACTTTAATTTTCTTCTATCCAACTGTATTAATTTATTCCAAACAATTTATTCTCTTAATTTTGTAGCATTTCTCTTGGCTGCGCTGCTTCCGTTACGTTTATTTAGTTGCTATATTTTTTGTCCAGTCAGATTCAGCCTCTGTTTGTTGCTATGTCAATCAAATCTGCCCAGGACCTTCAGAATCAGCAGTGCTGGCGGATTTTACCTCAACCATTTTAGTGAGGAACATTTTCTTCAACCAATCAGATTTCAGATTTGCCCCACAGGACAAGGGCTCAACCTTATGTTAGCATTTTCTGTCCTCTGATTGGTCAGTTAAAGCAAAATTTTTACAGCCAAGTTAAGGTAGCGACGATCTGTGTTTTAGATTCACCTAAAAAACTTTTCTAGCTTCAATACTAAATGGAGATACTTAGACTTCCTGCACAAAGACAGAAGGATGTGATATATTTTATTTTCATGCTTTATGCTCTATTTTCTCTGGTAATTAGATGCATAATAAATCTGAACGGCTCCTGATGATGTTATCATGAAAGAGCTGTTAATCTATTCTCTAAAACAGGAGCTGGGTCTATTATAATGATGACTTGCACGTTGATATTGTAGCGTGTTTGACAGCAGGTAACTAACTCATGCTTAAACCAAAGCCCAGTGGCAAACCTCTTTATTTATGCATTAAAAACAACCAGGAAATGCTTGTTCCTTTATAAGCAACTGGTGAAACAGTCTTCTAATGGTGCCAATGTTAACACTTACAGCTGCAACCTGCAGAACATAATGTTAGCTTAGGATGAACAGACTACCAACATAAACAACCCTCTTTAACACAAAACTAGGATAAAAGGGTCATTTCCCCATCTTGACATTGCCCAGCAGCTGTTGAGGCTAACTCAGCCTCGCAGAACATTACAATGGCTGCCTGAGTGACTGGTGGAAAAAAGAAGAAATAGAGCTTGGACTGACTGACACAAAGTACTGACCGTAGCCAGTTCATCAGGACCTGTTATTTTGGCCTACAGTTCAGAATTCATGTTTTTCTGAATAAACACTTATTAAACACAAATACATCTCATTGAATATTATTTATTTTCATTAGCAGTTGTTATAGTAGAAAATCTGTCTCAAGCAGGTGGTTGATGCATTTTGGAAACAGGATATGAACCCCTGGTCTAATGCGCCACCTAACGCGACTTCCTTTTTCCTATTATGTAGCACAAACATATAATCCTTATCTTATTTTACAATCTTATTTTTCTCTCTTCTGCAAACGGTTGCACTGTAAGAAAACAATTTCCCACAAGGGATTATTAAAGTAAGTAAATTCTGATTCCTGAAGTCCTTTTGCATAATTCAAATGAACCATTTTAATCTAGATTAATCCCAAGATTACAGTGAGATTAATCTAGATTAAAAAAATTGTCTATACCCATCACTAATATATATATATATATATATATATATATATATATATATATATATATATATATATATATATATATATATATATATATATTTTTTTTTTTTTTTTAGAAGTGGACTAGATGTGCTTCCCATCCTTATAAGCAAGCCTAGGTGTAATGTCCCACTGAGATGCACTGAGAAATGGATGCTTTTCTGCCTGTGAACTGGTGAAATATGGGATTTCTTTTACATCAGCTTGACTGGTTGTGTCATAATTTCCTCACACAAATATTCTATACCACCTAATTAGTCTACTGTTTGCTTAGACAGGTGAGTTTGAAACTGTCGTGGCTTCAGTTAACTGACTTTATTCCCCCAGCAGGCTGACATCCATCACACATGGCTTTTTTTACGTGTTCAGTCCAGAGTTGGTTTTTTCTCTTTTCCCTGCAGAGAATTCCCTCCTGCGCTTCCCAAGTGAGGACAAACCCTGTGCAGAGAGCTTCATTTTGGGCCGCAGTCTGAGTCAGAACAGGAGGAAGATGGAGCGAGGGAGCAGCCCCACTCACTACACACTTGTTCCCGCCCTGGAAGTCGCCATGTCCACGTCCAGCTCCGACTCTGCGTCACTTTACCATGTGAGTCCCTCTCAGAAGAAAGAAGTAGCAATAGAACAACCATCAGGAGCATGATCTGTTATATGCCATAAGTCTATAATCAGATTTTATATTATAATCTTTTTATTTTAAGGTGTTTGAACGCTCCTCGATGCTGACAAGGTCTAAGAAGAAAAAACAAGGTAGAAACAAATTTGGTCTGATTTTACAACTTGTTTAGACAAGCTTAATTGTTTTTTTTTTCCTTCTCTGCTTCCCTGTAGCTGCCAGCCCGATGGCTTCCATCAGTAAACGAAGGATTTCCTGCAGGGACCTGGGTCAGGGGGACTGCCAGGGCTGGCTATGGAAGAAGAAGGATGCTAAAACCTATTTTTCCCAGAAGTGGAAGAAGTACTGGTTCATCCTAAAGGACACGTGCCTTTACTGGTACATGAACGAAGAGGTGATCAGGAGGATTGTTTTTATTTCTATAACATTGACAGAGATCTTGATTTAAATGATGTTGCTTGGATGTAACTACCTTTGATTGTCTCAGGATGAGAAGGCTGAGGGATTCGTGAGCCTCCCAGAATTCAGGATCGATCGTGCCACTGAATGCAGAAGAAAGTAGTGAGTATAATTTAATATATCATGCTGCGCTGAGATATGATTTTTTTTATTTTGCATCAGATTGAAACAAATACTTGTGTCTTGGTTGCTTCTCATAAAGCCATCAGCAGGAAATGATGGCATACATTTTTACATTCTTCCATAAAGCTTTTATATTGTCCTGTTATATTTCTGTCTTTCCAGTTGTGTGCTCGCACGTTTAGATTTGTGTTTCGAATTGAAAAAAGATGTGTAAAAGTGGTGAAAAAATAAAAGCAATTATTGCAGAAGGTTAATGTAGTTACATACAAACACAATGACTCATTTAGAAGTGAAAAATGAGAGCAAGGCGCCCGAAGTCAGAAAGATCAGTTCTGAGAGCAAAAGCTTTATAGGTGCATAGCCATTTTTTATATTTATACACTAGGAGGTGTTCTGTGCAGTGAGCTGAGCTGAGTATAAAGCCGAGCTTCTGAGCGGTGCAGATCAGTTGCTAAAAGAACCAGTTTGTTTTACCAGGATAAACCATCATGCTCTGCCTCACATACCTGCTCACCGATCGGAGGAAGTGGGCATATTATTTTTTGGGCAGGTACGGAGTGAACAGCTTAGGAACCTCCTGTATCATTATTATTATTATTATGAATACCACTTATGTCCATGAGTTGGATGAAGAAATAGCATTTTAAGAGTATTAAAAGCTCGAAAAAGTTGATTAAGCATCATGTAGGTCTGTAAAGTCAGGCTACTTTTAACTCAATAGGATATTCACTTTTTATTCCAAAACGCCCAACAATATATCAAACACCTCAAAGCATGAAGATAAGAGACTTAGACAGATTTTATTTGTCATTTTGTACACACAAGTGTAAACAAAAATTAATTTCATTAAGTACAGCTCTCTAGACTATTTCATTTTTTAAAGTGCAGTCTTGATAAGGTAAGCAGCAGTGATAAAAACATTTTAATGAAAAACAGTAATGTAAACATATGAGTGTATAGTTAAAGTTCTAACATTCAGGGTTTGTTTTATATGAACTAAACTTTAAACCAATGAATTAAAGGGATATAGTATTGCTAAGAAATTCATGTGTGAGATATTAGCCAGTGCTTATGTCGTAGTGGCAGATTTATATGTTTCCTAATGAAACAGAAATGTTAAAAAGAAAAGTCTGCTTTAGGCCAGCTTTCATATGTTAATGATGCTGTACTGCATGACCTTGTTTGTGCTCTCACATATAATTAAACTTCTCTTTCAGTGCTTTCAAGGCTTGCCATCCCAAGATAAAGACCTTTTACTTTGCTGCGGAAAATGTAGATGACATGTCCCGGTGAGTATCCGAGGCTTTGGTAGCCATGCTGCAAACTCCTCCAGTGCTCCATTTCAATCCCTCTCTTGTCCAAGAACTGAACTGCCTCATTAAACCTCCCACTCTCATCAAAATGGGTAGAAAAGAAAGAAATGTAAGCTTTGGAAAAATCACAAAATCATTTACGGTATGCGTCACCAAGTGTTACTCCCCCACAGGTGGCTGAGTCGACTCAGTATGGCAGTTGCAGGATACTCTGAGCAGGAGAAAATACGTCAGGAACAAGGTGAGATTAGTCACAGCCTTTTCATCAAGCTGCAAAGAAAGATGTTTGTTAGGGTTAAAGAGCTGCTAAGATAAAGTTCGGACGTCAGCTGGTGAAAGATGTCAAATTTAATAGGGGTCATAGATGAAGTCTGGTTACACTGCAAAAAAGAAATAATTAAGTAATTTTTCATGAAATACATGTATTTACCCTTTGTTGTAGAAGGTAAGTAAGACAGTATGCCAATAGAATAAGATGATTTAAAATAATAAAAAAAAAAAGATCCATTTTCCTATTTAAGTGCATAATATCACAAAAAAGTAAAGTTAATGTTTGTTTAATTTAAATGACTGATTATTATTATTATAGCTTGCTTCATAAACACAGGACCCCCACATCCGATTTTCCTAAAATGTTTCAAGGTTCCACCGTACCTGCTGTCAGTACTTAAACTAATCCACAAAGTAATTCCACAGCTGGAGACACTTACTGTTGTTGTTATGTTTTATTCATATCTCCTTATAGGTTGTATCCTTCTTTCTGCTCTTGACTGTTTTGGCAGTTGATCATGTCTTGATTTATTCATTATCATTAAGTTTTATTTAACTTTCAAATTTTAACTTTGGAACGCTTCCAAAACAAAAAAATCCTTCATCAACCTTTTTTCTCAAAAAGTGGAAGTAATAAAAGGGAATCATTGATTTAATTAACATTAACTTCATTATGCTGTGGAAATGTGCTATATATTTTAGGGGATCTGTTTGGTTTTCACATCCAGCAGGTTATTTCTGCTCCAAGCTGAGGCGGGCTGGTTATTTTTGTCCTTCATATAGCTTAGTGTTGTTTGGCTTCTAACAGGCCGACAGGAAGTAAGGCTATTTAAAGGTGCCTACATGCAAACCCTGCTATGGTGGGTGTGTGAGAACTATTTTGTCTTTGGAGGGGGCGCATTTGGTCATTTTTTCTTTTTATTAGATACATAACACGTCCAGAAGATTTCACAGGAAGTTCTCACACCTTATATCTGTCCATCTTCATATTCAGAGCACCTTTTAAGGACTCTAGTCCTCTCCCAGTCTACAGATGTACTTTGCATGTAGCTTATTTTAACTCTGACTGTAGGCTCTGACATAAGGATGTGATTTTTTGCAGATTACTGGAGTGAGAGTGATCATGAGGACATGGAGATGCCCCCGGTGCCAAAACGGGACAGTCCACCACCACCTTATGACACCTATCCAAGAGCGGCCTCCGTGAGTTTTCTGTCTGGTGTTTCAGTAGATGCTGCCGTTGTCCTTCTGTGTGGTACCAACATGTTCATCTGTGTTTGTAGGTAAGCCCCTACCTGGAGCCAAAGCGTAGCCATCTCTCCTCTTCGGACACGTTCCAGTCCCGTTCCTCACACGAGGAGTTCCACTCGGAGCCTCAGGAAAGCAACAGCAACAACAGCATCTCCCCCGGGCCGAAGGCCAGCAGCCACAGGAACTCATGGCAGGACCAGTTGGAAGGCAACTCCAGGATGCACTATCTGCAGACCTATCCTGTGGAGGAACCCATGCAGTCTGAGGACAGGGATCAGCTGGCCATGGAGTATCGCAGGCAGTCCACTTTACCAGCGCAGCGCAGCCTGCTGCAGGAGCAGTACAGGGCCCTGCCTCTGCCCCTCAGGGCAAGCATCGACTCCGACGCCGGAGGGAAACCTCGCAGTTTCACGCTCCCCAGGGACAGCGGGCTGCATGCTATCCTCGCTGCTGCTGCCGCGTCGGATCAGAGAGAGACCCAGAACTACCAAATGGACCGAGCCAGGGACACAGGTCAGACTCTCAACGTCTAGACAGTACATTTGACCTTTCATTGACCTCCTGATGCCTGAATTTGCATGTATGCACATCAAAAAACAAACAAAAAAATCTATAGAAATTGAAGTATAAAGGCAATTTGTGACAATAGTTATTATGGTGAATAATAAAATACTGAGACCAAGCAGAAATAAGTGCCTGCAAAAAGTATCTTGGCTATTTGTGTAATACAAAGGGTTTGATGCATATTTGCAACAACAGGCATCAAAAGGTCTAACCCCCAGATTCCACATCCTGTCACTGCTCTGCTCTGCTCACGTACACTGTGCGGAATACTTGTCTGTTATGTTAATCAATGAGAACTGTTGCACATACTCCTCCGAACATTACTGTCCACGTATGTTCTGGCTGGTTTATGCTCAGAAACTGGGTCGTCTGCTTGTGTTTCGCACTCAAGCAGATACCCCTACCTTCCGCAGACACTCTGCTGCACCTCTCCAAAGCTGTAGGTGACTGCAGACAGTGCTGCAGAAAGGCACTGTCTGGTCAAATCTACATCCACTACTGCACTATGCGTATTTCCTGTTTGGTACCTTACCGGCTTGTTTTGTTTATATGACCGGCGCTGTGGAAACGACTTGTGAAGATGGACCAGCTAGAAGAGCGAGGTACGCGAGAACGCTGGGACCCTTTTTCCACCTGGATCCCCGCTCTTTTTCACCCTCATCTCCCTACGTTGTTGCACAAACTTGCCCCATGTGTTTTTCCACTACCTCACCGCCTAGGCCGTATCTAGACCCACAGCTAGTTCGTGATTGTCCCTCTTGCGTTGTGGCGTGGAATAGCATAGCACAGACCACACTTCAAAATTGGGCATAAATCAAAAATATCTGCGTCATACCTGCGACAAGCTCACTGCGACACAATGCTGTGGGAGTATAACCAGCCCTTTCTAAGTCCTTCACCGTCAAAATATGGAGCCCAGCTATTATTTGCTCTGTTCCAGTCTGGCCAGGTCCACAATTGCAATCGCACCAAACAGGAAAAAGAATGGCGAAAAGATCCAGTTTGTCAAATTAAAATATAGTAACGACAGCTCGTTAACTACAAATTAGAGCATAATTCTTATATATATTCCCCAAAACTAAAACCGTTTAATTAAAATTTTGGATGCAGACTACTGATACTTCAAAATACCAGGAATTAGTTTTCTCATCTTAAAAAATTATCTTATACAGAGAGGCTTAAAAGTTTTGTCAAATCCAGTCACAACAGCTTCCAAGAGCACCTCTCACAGCTTCAAAAGAAACTTCTCATTGGAGGCATGGATGAAGAGAAGCTGAGATTGGAAGCAGAGAACAAACATAGTTCATAAAAACCAATTTTGTATGATCCTAGTTATCTCTGTTACAAAAATCCACAACAAAAAGAAAATATTTAGGCAAAAGCTGCACATATGATGGATGCTGGTGGGGAATCCTGTTCTAACGTGTCGAAAAATTTGGGAAACTTTCCTTTTATAATAATTTTAAATAAAACTAGTGGTTCAGTTATGGAATATAAGGTATTTGTTTTTAACTTATAAATTAAATAATTAAAAGGTACATCTGAAAACATTAAACTTATCGGCATTATTTTGATATGGGCTTTGAAAAGTGAGTCGCAATATAATTATGTCGATGTTATGATTTTTGTTGTTTACCATTACAGAAAAAAAAGATGTTTTGGCGTTTATTATTTTGCAAATTTACAGCCTTCAATTGGCTATAAAGTAGGTATGAAGTTGAAAAATAATGCTTTTCTATCATTAGAACTAAACAGCAGTTACGCTATTCCAGAAAAAAGCCGAAAAAACGAAAAAATCGTTATAGCTCTGCGAAAGTAAAGAGTGTGTTGATTAAAGCCTTCAGTCAGTGTGAAGATGACGTGAGGAGCTTTTTTAAATTACAGCTCCTAACGATGTTTATAAAGTATTTTTGCCGCACAAAATTAGCAAATCCCAGCAACATTTAGCCTTCAGTGGAGCTTCGTCTGTAGGAACGCTGTCGTTGAATCAGTGGCTCTGCGCCATCGTCTCTGTGTTCCTGCTCAAGTTGGTCATAGTCGTTGTGTGGATACATGTTCACGTTGCCGTACAGTTATAACTAACACGCTACTGACTTTTACAAACAAATTAGTTACAGCGCTAGTTACTGGAAAAGTAACGTGATTACTGTAACACATCACCCATTAAGGCATTTGTCCCAACACTGATCAGAAAGGGTCAAATAAAAAGGCTATTGTAGATATTTCCAATAAAAACTTACAAAATGTCTCTTTAACCTAATAGGCAGACAGACCTGTAACTTCCAGGTCTAGAGCCCCTGAAAGCAACCGAGCTTTTCTGCAACAATAAGAACTAAAGTTCAGGTCAAGTAAAGCCCTTTAAAGCAGGGCTTTCCTAACTTTTCTATGCCACGACCCCCTAGACAGCATTACCGTTTGGGAGTGGACCCCCCCAGTCCTCCATTTCTAAATTAACAGACATTGCTACAAAAGACGAATCCATTACTAGAAGGTAGCTCTTAGTTCTATCGATATTCACTTTTTGTGATGTTTTTTTAGCATAAGAATATTAACTAACATCTTTTCAACACTATTGTTTATTCCCACGTAATGCATACAGGTACCAGACCAATGTCATTGTCTGCTTGTAAACATGTTCTGCATTTTGTTTTGATAATCTTAAAGGTTAAAAAAAAGCCAGACTCACATGAATATGTTATTAGAAAAGGCCTTTCAGCCAAAGTGGGACTGAAATTTGAGGTTACAAATCTAAACTCAGGTAAAGTTATATTCAATAGTGATGTTTTGAAATTGTACCTTTTTTCACTTTTTCTCCAATTTCTCAGAGGCCCCTTTTCTTGCTCCTTTAGTAAATCACTGCTTTAAAGCGTTTTATAAAAGAGGGGAAAGACAATCTGTGGTGTTTGTATTGGTAGCATATTGGACCCCGGTTAAAGGTAATCAGAGTTCATTCATTCTAGGGTCGACCGTAATGACACGATGCATGCTGATGAAAATATTTTCTAATTATAACAGCAGTGAGATCCTTCAGCTTGATTTGAGTGCACGCGGCCTCATCTCCATTCATCATCGGGGATCCTTTTAAACTGGAGACATTCAGTCAAAGCCAGTGAATGTCAAAGGTTTAATGTTCACTGTTATTCCTTTACTGGGTTCGATTTGAAGCTGTCCTGTTTGCCATCTCTACTAAACCTTCAGGGCGTTTGTCTACGGAAGATCAAACTCTGCTTCTTGTTTAAGACTGACAGTCCGCTCTCCTTCTTTCTCTCTGCTCGTTCCCTCTCTTTCCTTTGGCTTTTGATTATGCTTGATCCAGATGCCTTTGTACCCTTTCAGCTCCGGGTGGAAACCGAGGCAAAAAGGGAATCCTTTCAGTCTGGGTTAATATTGAAGTCTGAACAAGATAAAGAAAAACTCCCTGGAGGGGCCCCGGGTTCCTGTGCCCGTTTATGTATCCGTTTCTCCAACGTTTCCCATGGAGATGAGAGGAACGCTAAATTAAATCTTTTACATTTCAAAGGACAGCCCCAAAAACTTACCCCCCCAATTCCAACTAAAAAAAGGGACCTCACAGCATACCTCAGAATGCAGTGTGTCTATCAGACCAGAAGAGAGTGCTGTAAGTTAACAGGAAACAATACGAGTAGTTACGTTTTCAGATATATTACCACCTATTTAGCTCTATGATACAGTAAGTATCCTCTTCACAGTAAGAAGTACAAAGTATGTATGACATTCATGCTCATATTTAGCGACAAAACCAATAAATAAGTGCATAAACAAACTTTTGCCCAGCTCAAATATAAAATGTAACCCCCATTATGTTAAGAAGGAAAAATTTAAACAAAATTAAACAGAAATTATTTTTTATCATGCTCTTTGTTCACTGACGTTATCTTAAAACAAATTAGGTTTTCAATGAATTAGTTAAGAATGAAGGTGGATGGTTTCACTGGATTTCATTTAGGGGTTTCAAAGTGATGCCACACTTTTATTTACACTTTTATTTATTTTAACAGTATCAACATTTATGCACCTATTTGTGTCGGTGCTTACTTATTTTGACTTTATTTATTGTGGAAAATGCATATATTAATTAACATTTGCATCAAACACGGCTGTAAATATGCCAGATTACAGCACAACTGCTAGTTTCCACACACATTAAAAAATCAGTTTGCACCAGCAAAAACATCATAAATCACTTATCGATATGTACTTTGAAAGTGGGATTTGTTTGTAAGTATCTAGTTGAGTTAGTTCCTTCCCATTTTTTTACTTTCAGTTTGATGAGTCAGCGGTGCAGGTCCATTCAAAACTTTAATGAACTGTTTAAACAAACTAAATGTTAAAAGTTTGACAAATTTTATGTATCTATAATACTGCAGTGATTAAATTAGAGTGTTTTTTGTTTTTTTTATCCCATCTTTTAGCTACCTTTTTTTAAAAAAAAGGCATTCTCTGATTTGAGCACTGTGCCAGAAGGAAGAGACCAAGAAGATATGCAGACTGCTTTACTCGATATGTGAAAAGATGATGGAGTGCATCAACATCCACGCAGCATTCAGGGTCATAAACAGACTTGACCTGTTTTAAATTTAGCATATTAAAATTCACTTTTTTTTCTAATTTCCTCAACATGTTATTGAATGTCAGCGTGGGTTTCAGACTTAAATGGATCCACGACTAGTTGAACATTTTGGCCTAAAATATAGTACGTTTTTTTACAGCTGGATCCCTTTAAGCCTGGATACTTAAATTCATCGACTAAAGCCAGCTTCACACCTCCAGTGAAGAAGTGTTCTTATTAAAATGGCTGTTTAAAAAAAATCATGTGGAAGTTTTCTTTGCATTTAGTTGGAGGCAGGATTTTGTGACCAAGTAGTGAATACTAGTGAATATTATTTGTAAAGTTTTGTAGATTAGGATTATTTTTATTGGGGGTGTAAACAGTCTGCTTCTTTGTGCTGTTCTGTTTTCCAAGGTCTTGGGCGTGAATGCAGAATGCAAACAGATTCGTTGGTGGATTTGTACCGAGCTCTGGAGCAGACCAGTCTGTCCAGCTCTACTGACCACAGATCAGCTGGTCGGCTTGAGTACAAACGCTCCTTCGTCCGCAGATCTAACGACCCCCTTTTAAACGACAAGCTCCACCGCCTGCGGATCCTGCAGAGCTCACTGAAGGTACTGAGGGAATCTCATTTGTATCCATTTGTGCTGTATTTGCCTACCAGTAATTCATACTTTTTGTTTCCCTGCAGAATGTTCCTCTTCAGGACACAAACCGGTCACTGGGGTTTTTAGGTTAACCCCCCCCCCCCAGCTTTGCCTCTTGCTTGTGCCTCAGATTTGGAGTCAAAGGCACCAAACACATCTTTAACCTCCTCAGCCGTCCATTGATCAGATTTTTTTTTCTTCTTTCTACTACTTCTCTGAAAAGCAGCAAAAAAAGCAAAAACGATGTCACTTTTTGCCTCTTTTCATCCTCAAGGAGGCAGGAATCAAAACCAATTAATAAACTATCTGAAAGCACTTTTGGCCATTTAAAAGATTAATTTGTAAGCTTTTTAAAATCATCACCTCCATGCATGGCGGCCCCTCCCACCTCTCCCATTTCTGTTGCATTGTTTTAAACCTTTATCCCGGACAGCCGCTCCACGCCTGGCTTCATCGTGCATGTGCATTTGATCCACAGTTACGTTTGTTCTGTGAGTGTACAGGGTGTCGTATATTTAATGCTACATTGCTAAAGCGGTGATCACACCATGTTTTATTATTCTTTGGCTACCTATTTAATCTGTACATCAAGTGCTGTGCCTCAGTGATAGTGAATGTACATTGTACCTTTTTAAAAACAAGAGTTGAGAGAAGATTTAGAGAGAAAGCCATTTCCTCAACAGAGGCACAAACATGTAACGTCTGGCAATAATGAACTATCTCTGTAAATGACCATGGAGTGATAAGAATAGTTGTCTATTTTTGTATGCATGCTGTCTACCTGATTGTTTGTATGGCAGTTTTGTAATTCAAAGTGGGTTTGGTTCAGATAATGCTGGTGTTTTCTCTCTCATCCTTCCACCCACATCACTTTCACACAACCAGTGCGGTGTGTTTTCTCTAGTTGTTATAGACACTGGCCCAGAAATGTGATTTTTTTTTCTTCCAATTTTAACCATGAAAGATCTATAAAAAAAAAAAGAAAAAAAGAAGTATTTAGTATATGTTTAATGGGGAAGCATGCTCTGTAAGACTAAAGTACATTACCATGCCATTTTGAAAAAGACTCATATTGCACACCTGGGCCATACTGTAGCCACTTATTGTTTTTTTTATTGATTAAAGTATGGTACAGGCATAAACGAGGCTCGTTGTTTTATCTTCTTCAGGTAACAGGATGATAATGGATTATATGAAGAAATGTCATTTTAAGGTACACTCATGTCACTCCAAAGCCTTACCTCCTCATACATATAGTAAAAGAAAATATGCTGAGAGTTGGGCGCAGTCTAGGCTGTGGTTGACAGCAGCACACTCGCTCTAACAAAGACATAAACAAGGCAAGTAGAGCAATCCCAGCAATGATTGTTTTTGTGACAGATCAGTTGGATCTCTGACCGTCTTCACAAAAGTCGGAGAAAGAAACGCACACTAGTATTCTGATTTTCATTTATTTAGTAAAACAAGGAAATAGATAACAAACCATTATCCAATTATTTGCACTAAACAAAAATGGAAGAAATAACTGATTAGGGCGCACTCTCAATTATGAGGATTAAAATCACAGAGAGGTCAAATCCAATTAATGACCAGTTGGGAAGTAAGCCATTATCTGATCTCCATAGCAACCGTTGTCATCACTTGATCTGAAGTCTTTTGGATAAAAGGGTCTGTCTCCTCGCTTAGCTAGTAATATCCATCCAGTTTGCAAGATGTTAACATAAGGGTATTGAACAGGGGTAGGTGAAAATGAAGCAGGCTCCTTCAGTCCCACAGCAAGCACTGCGTCTCAAAGTTGAACTTTTATTTCCATGGATAAGCTGATATTGTCCTCTACAACATTTTTTCTCCCCCTCGGCCAAGAGAAGTTTTCAGGGTCAGGCTACTTGTGTAACAAACAAACAAAGAAAAATCTCATGATTCTTTTTCTATTTTTGTTTATTGCAAAAAAAAAAAGGGTTATCCATTTTTTTTTTTTTTTGCTTTAATTAAACCAAAATCCAAAATCATGAACTGCCTGAATATACAATGACCATGTTGATCTATTGTAATGCATTTTATATTATTGTAAACTTTAATAAAGAGAAAAAAATATTTTCATTTTCCATTATGAGGAAATAATAAAATATATTTTCATTTAGCCAACCACTATATGTAGGAGGATCTATTAAGAAGAGAGCAGCTGTCCTTGATAAATTGATATTGCATTCCGGAGTAAGCCAATAGCAAAAATCAGATATGGACAATCCATTTTAACCCAATGAAGGCGCCAAATAAATGGCTTCAGCCAAAAAAGTAGATTTTCAACAAATTTGTTGTATATTAAAAAATAATGCCTGGGAAATGTAGACAGCTCTTAGGATCTCTATTTATACAATTTATTAAAAAAAGTTGATTTAGGTGTGAGTCATACTTTAAGAAATGTGATTGAAAACTAGAGCAAGTAGACGTGAAGGGTTTATGTTTTTTCTAGAATGGTAATTTTTTTTGTCATGGATGTACAGATGCAAAAAAAAGATTGTATCCACAGCCAGTAGAGTATACATTTCAATATTAATAGTCAGATGTATTTTATGAAAATGAAATGACAAATAGTGACATAGTGATCCTTTAATTTCAAATTGAATTATTATATTAGATATGACAAGACCTCTAACTAATTAAAGGAGCCTAGTCATATCCCATGACTAAGAAATTTCTGCGCCTGTAGCCTACTTCAGTTTTATTCAAAGCCTTTCAGATTTTAATATATAGCATACTGATGACCTATATTTTATGTGTTTTAAACTTTGCCTGTCTCGCATCTTAAATATGATTAAGTGTTTTCTGTATTTAGGGTCACCTGACTCGAGGTGTAATATTGATTAAGTACAAAATGAGTAAACAAAGGAATTAATATCCCCACCAGAGCTGGAAAGAGAAAGAGGAAAAGTCGCAGATCAAGTTTAAAAAAAAAAAAAGTTGGAAACCAAGAGGGACGAGATATGAGTAGAGCTCGGAAAACATTTTGACCGTTGTAATACACTGAAGTGGGAACCAACAGGAAGCTGCCAAGTCGATGGATTCATAAGTAAGTTCTTCAAGCAGATTGCAAAGTCTTGCAACAATGTTTGCAAAAAATCTTTTCAGGCTCAGAAAGCACTAAGTAAACACTACCAGGTATGACGCTTTTTGTGTATAGCTTTATTTTTAATGTGAAAACATGTGTTATGGTGTTTTTTGCAGACACAGTACGGCTTAAAGCAATACTAAGTAACTTTTGGTCAAAGTATTAACTTAATCTGAGATACACCAAATTCATATTTAGGTTAGTATACAGGACCTCCGCTCCTAAACCGCCACCTTAACGTGGTGAGGTGTTTGCCCGGATGATCCTAGAGGCTATGTTGTTGGGCGCTTAGTTGCCGCTGTAGGGTTTCTCAAGGCAAACAGGCTCTGGGTAAATGGGTCAGACAAAGAGCGGTTCAGAAAGCCCCCATGAAGACAAAGAAATCGAGGCATGTTACGTCGCCTTGAGCAGGAACCCCACCCTGGAGCCCCTCCTGGGGATTTCATCATTCTTGCTGGGGGCTTTGACATCCATATGGGAAACAACAGTTTCATTATGTTACTTTTTTGCAAGTCACAGACTATCCATATTGAATGTCATGTTCAGGCATGGGAATTGTCACTTGGCACCAGGACACCCTAGACTGGAGGTCGATGATTGACTTTGTAATTGTGTCTTCTGATTTTCAGCCACATGTCCTGGACACTCAGGTGGAGAGAGGAGCGGAGCTGTCCCCCAATCACCAGCTGGATACGCTGGAAGAAGAGGAGTCCAGACAGACTTGGCATACCCAACCAAGTAGTGAGGGTCTGCTGGGAATGTCTGGTGAAGCCCTCGGTCAGGGAAATGTTCAGTAACTTGAAAACTTCATATTTTATTTACCTAAGTTAAAATAAAATATGAATCTAAGAAATGTATTTTCTTATATTGAATTATATTTGACAGTCCCTAACCCTAAACTTTAATTGTGATCATTAAATGTGCCTTTTGTATAGCACTATTTTTATCAAATCAGAAATGTAAGGAAGCAAGCCTCTTTTTAAATCTTCTGTTTTTGAAGGATACAATTCAAAACTGGACCCAGAAGTGGAACTTCTATATGAGCGATGAGAACAGCAACTTTTAAACAGAGCGGGCACGAGGAGAAATGGGCTTGTGCATGCTCTCGATATTTGGTACAGCATTGTTGTTGTGATTTTATGTTCTTTTCAATTCCCAGCCAGCTTAGGATTTATAATGCTGATACTTTAAGATGTTTATTGCCCTCCCCTGTAGGGGAGGTATATAAAAAGGTGTAACCAGAGTGAAATTCATGCTAAAACTAATCTGAGTTTAGACGTATGAGTCTGAGCGGCATGTAAGTGCACAGAGCAGGAAAATAACGGCTTTATATTTGTTCTCTTGTGAGAGACAGTCATGTACTTCATACCTGCTCACCAATAACTTCTCAGCACAGCGGGTCTAGTTTAGGTCCTTTGAGATCAAAACATGCCCAATGAAACATTACATCATCTTAGCAGATTAGTTTGTGGTTTATTTACTGAACTACTAATCCTAACCTTAGACACAATAATTATAGTAATTAAAATTAAATCATCTGTCACTGAGGGTCGTCTCTTTTATATTAGAAACAGAGTTTATTAACACTTTAACATTTTTTATATGTTTATATAAAAATGTTGTATATTAACAATAAAATGTAGACCTAAAATGTAAATCTAAGATGTAAAATGCAGCTCCCTGGAAATATATCAGACATCTTGGTCCAGAAAAGTGTATTTCTAGAAACATCAAAGATATTGCGCAGAAATCTCAAGCTCCCAGGCTTCTGGTAGAGGACTCAAGCTTGGAGGAATAAAGGGAGACCCCCTGCGGTATGAAGGACCAGCTCTACTATATTTAATAAACAGAAACAGGGGTGGAGGAAACTCACTTTGGGAAACGGAAAACTTTTTCTGATTTCAGCTTTAGAAAAGTTTGAGGTTTCAGTAAACCTGAAACGGACCACAGGTCTTCTAGTTCCAGCCTACTCTGTCCACCAAGAACTAGAAGCAAACATGTAGAAGCAGCTTCTATGCTCCACTGATCTGGAACAAACTCCCAGAAGACTGGAAAAGAGGTGAAAGCCTGAGTTCTTCTAGGTCAAAGTTAAAAACCCATTAGTTTAGAGCTGCCTTTGACTGTTAAAGTTAATTGAGGTATGATAGGTTTAAGTTTGTGGTCCAACTGTTTATTAGCTTTACTACCTGATTTTATCTTGGTTTTTTTTTATCCTTATTTGCTTTTATTTTGCTTAAATTTTATCTTTTCATTCAGTAAAGCACTTTGAATCTTCTTTGTACTGAATTGTGCTATATATAAAAAAAACTTGCATTTCCTTAATTAAACTGCCTTGAAATTGGTCAACAATATTCTGGACCATAAAAAAGGTTCAAAGTAATGAACTTCCAGCCCTTTTCCACTGATCTTATTAAAGTTGTTTACAAAAGGAATATTTTTTGTTTCATTAAATTCAAATGAAATTTTATGCAAAAAGTTAAAAAGGCTTAAAACAGAAAACTCTGATCCATATTATTGCATTCTTAACTGCATATCATATTATAATATAATAAATGCAAGCTTTTTTTACCCCTCGGCTTTTCATTGAAGGAAAGTTGAACAAACTTGACCCTATTGTTAACAAGTCACGCTGGGACAAACTTGGGCATTTAAATCTCTGTTCATCACTTTAGTTCACCATTAAGTAATTTTCCACCAAAACCCCTCTAGCGAATATGCTTAAGAGCAAATGCATCCAGGCCAAATTATAAATGAGTGACCATTAGTCACTGTGTGCCATTATTCATTTAGAAACAAATTAACACAAATGGGACACCTATTAGGACAATAACTGGAGAATTCGGATAAGTCTGGAGACAACCATTAATGACATCCCTTTAAAAAAATACTGATGCAACACAGATTAAACTGTCTCTAAGGCCATTGACCCTTAGGTTGTGTCAAATTCTTATCAAACTGGATATCACAAATTAGACTGTTTTTGCAACATCTGTGTTGGATTAAGTAACTGTTTACGAACAATCCGCTCTCGTT